AACTGGTTTAGTTCTGTCTTAAAAGCGATTAAATCAATAAGTCCTGAGCAAGGGTTTTCCGCGCCCTTAGCGAAACTCACCACACCCACTAAAACGCGGAATCTCCCTCTCTCTCTCCGGGCTGCTTTTCACATTTCCAACAGTGCGTGGAGTGCATTTCGAAATAATTTTCATACGAGAATTAAGTTTCATGTGGCTACGTATTTTGTTTAACTGAATCACTGGTCGCCAAGTGCTACGCTTTGTGTTTTTGTGCCTAAGAAATTATCAATTGTTTACGCTTTTATCGCTGGAACAAGGCAAAGTGTACATACATATGATGGATACACTCACTCTGTGTGCTGACACAATGGATTTCCCATCGGGGATCGACAAAGATTTACATTTTGCCCAGGTAAATGGGTTAATATTTAGCAAAATATATCTGCAAAGGCAGCCACAAGTTTGCATTTGTTTTGGAAAATCGATTTTTTTGGAGAGAGAGAGAGGGCGCTGCTCTCTTTCCGCCTCTCAGCTGTTTGCCAGGGGGAAAGTGGGCGGTGGGTGGTGGGTGGGTGTTCCAGCCCCGTTTCCTTGACACGCTACCTTTACCCGCAGATACTTTTCTTTTGCGTGCTGTGTGCAATTGATTCCGCTCCCCAATGGATCGCCACTGAGTCACACTGGCCCACACTCTTCAAGATGTAGTTTTCGGTGGCAGAAATCCAAAAGCAACATCTGCCATTTGGCGGAAGAGGGTTGTTCTGTTCCATGCGGTCGGACGCGATATGAATATTGACCACCCTCTGGGCCGGGAGAACTTTCTGCAAGCCAACCCATTTGGCCCTTATTTATTGGTTTCAAATCCCCTGAAACACCCCCATCGATTGCAGTCTGCTGTCTCCTGTTAATTAAACACGTATGCAGTATTTATGGAGCTTCAGATTGCTGGGCACACTGAGAAAAATCGTTGCCTTACGAGCTTTCAAATGTTAGAATCATAAGAAAGTATTACATATCTTTTAAATATTTCTACAGAATTATTACATTATTTAAAAGAATATTTATATGTATTCGAAAAGTATCTCTTACCGGATGTAACAAAAACTTATAAGCACACAGTTCTTATAAAAGAAATACCGAATTAATGATCAATTTTAATGACATATTCACTTTTTGCAGCCCATGGTGCCGCCTTCAAAGTGTAATGCCTTAGAATAATGACAAATTGTTTTGGGACAACTCTAAATATGGGCGCACCTAGGCTCCGTACCTACTGTGAGCAAGAATTCAATCGGCTGGGAAATAAATTTCATTACTTATGGCTTGCCAAAGTCGCATGTAAAGTATTTATAACCTGTACATATGCACTGTGAATAAATGGAGGCCATATATGACAGGCCCGAGGCGGCGTCGCCCACATGCGAAGTTGCCGCAGAGATATAATAATAACTCTGAAGCAATATGTGCCGAGATATGTGAGTTCCTCAAGCTTCGCTCTCGTTTCTCCCCCGTTGTCTGTTGTCTTGGGCAAATGTATAACGTAAACAGTTTTAAATTACAAAAGTGTTTGCACCCAGATTCCATGTGATATGTGAGATCCCAAGGGGTCTCCCTTTATCTGTCTGCGCGAAGTGGTTAAGATACCAAAACCTGTCCCTGCCATCAAGTGCTTGGATATCATCATCATCATCATCACTTTTACTGCCTGCAAAGAGTTTTCATTTGTTTCGAAAAGAATTTCCCCATCACTGGCACACCTGCTGGCCATTCATCGATCGGTCTTGGCCACATTCAAGATCAATTTGTTTGAATGCCGCTCGACATGTGTAGAACCACTTAGTTAGGGTATTTCTACTATTTGTTTTTATGGAAACTAATGTAAAGACATTTTCGAATTTGGGTTAAAAATGTGTGAATGAAATATGGAGAATCGCTCCTCAAACATTAGAAAAGAACAAGCAGACGTGCCCGGGGGAATCAGTAGTCCGGGGTCTTTGGGCCGCTCTATTTTGTTGGAGTCACTTGGCATAGATTGGTAATGCCACTCGAAGACCCACAAGCAGGCAGTCAAATACTCAGATAGGCAGATAGATAGGGGGCAGGAAACTGGGTCATTTGCCTAGCGTCTGTCTTGTTTAAATACTTGTGCCTGATTTATTGGGGACTTTGTAAAGTTGATTAATCAAATTGACTCGTGCTCGGCATTTATTTCTAGTTTCGTTTTTCTACACTGCTGTTTTGGGTCTGTTTTTCTCACATTTTCATTTAAGTTTTGCCTTCGTTGTCAAATTTATGGCCCTGCAGAGTCTTTGGCCGCGATGATATTGTGGAATTATGTGTTGCATAAGTTATGCACAATCTCCACCATTGTGCCCGCAGATAAAGCTTCATTAAGCCGCTTTCATGGAAAAACATAGAAACCGGAAAGGATCCCAAAGGGCACCGCACCTTTTCTTGAAAATCCGCTTAAATGCGTAGGAGTTTCTGGGTAGTTCTGCGTAAAAAAGTATCTCCAAGTCCGTAAAACCCAGTGAACACAGATGACCGGTGGCATCAAATTATTACCATATAAAAGCCCCCTAGGGATAGTTATTTTTTATGGATTATCTGGTAATTATTGTTATTGGCTTTCCCAAAGCTTCCGTTTCTTGCATTTCTTTCACTTTTTGCTGATTAGCCAGCAACAAACGGAGCCGACGACGCCGATTTGATGGCTGTTGTCTCGCCAAAGTCTCCGATAATTGTGGGGGAAGCGAGATACTTAAAGGTGCCCGGGGGCTACGTGGGAATGGGGGGATTTTGGGGGGCAGAGGACCGCAGAGAGGGCAGACATTTGACTGGAATTCCGCGTCATTTTATGGCCGTTGTGCGAACATTTTTCCCATTTGTTTCGTGGGGCCCGTAATGATATACCCAAGACCATGGCATCTTTTTCCTACGAATGTGAATTGAAAATTACTTTGCTGGCTCTTTTTATTAGGTTTTGGTTTTCTCTTTTTAAGCGATTACAAAACTTCCACCATTAATTATCGCGATAGTCTTTTTTTCTCCCATGACATGACGCATCGAGACGAAAAATTGTATGCCATTTTTGCATAGCTGTAATTGATGATACGCTCCAAGAGCTTACAGAATATTATGCACTGGCCATGGTGCACTTCCGCTCCATTTGAAGTCGATGCGATGCTTGACTGCGATACCTAACAAACGAGGTACCAAATTAGGTCGCAAAGTGATTTTGCACAGTTTTATTTCCGAAACACTTTCACATTTACCATAAAATAAAAATTAAATCTGTGTTGTCCCATCTATTTTACTTAAAAGATTGCTATCTTTTAAAGCTTAGTCAAAAAGAATTGAGGAGCACAATAAAGAGCAAATTTATATTGTCAAATAATTGCATAACATTTGGCTGAACACATTTATAATTGAGATCAGTAAAGGTGAATCAGTAAATTAGCTTAATAAGTTCAATGGAATATTTAATTGAAATAAGGGGTCAGACAATGTCGTCTAAAGAATGATTACTCTATTTTTTCAATTTGAATGTGGCATATAATTTGTGTTTTTCTTATTATTTCATTTGCTAATAATTATTTTCAATTCTTTTGTCATTGCAGGTAAGCTTCATGTTAAACTAAGCGGAAATGCGTGTGCCTCACATCGCATATGGTCATGGGCAATCGATTGACAGACGGTTCAAGGTCGAGGGAGCTGCCCACATCCGATGGATGGGTATTAACGAGTGCCCATATCTCTTGCTGAATCGTTTTGAATTGAGCGCTGCGTGCTCGAGTGCTTAAAACACGTCGGGCTGTCCTCGAGAGCTTCAATTGACACAAAAACAAGGGGTCTGGCTATTTAAACAGATCTTTTTCTTCAGTTAATACAAATCCCCAGCTTTTGTAAAGCCTGTCCACTCGCATCACGCAGAAAAAACCGATATGAAATAGGGTTATTTCTACCTTATTTCATATAAATAAAAAGCCGATATGATTTATTTCAAATTTAAGATACAAACATATCAACATGATATTTTATCATATCATAAAAAATACCAAATGTAGTATTTTTTGAGCAAATAATATAAAAATGATATTAACTAGTTTTTACTCATATCAAAATGATATGAATAACTTGATCTTTAAAAAATATCAATTTGACCATTACCATTTTTTTTCTGTGCAATAATTCCACTCTTGACTTACTTTCCAAGTAGGGGAGAGTGGGGGAATTTCGTCACAGGGGCAATTTCGTCACCTGCAATATCTCGGAATTCATAAGTCGTAAAAATATATAATTTTTTTGTTTTAGTCCTTCAAGACGGCCAGACGCAACCAATGCATTTGTTTTGCACAGAAGGCCAAGATAATTAAGCTATAATATTAAATGTGTTTTAACAGTTCAAAAGCTACATTTAGTTCTCGACGAAATTTTTTCTGTATGCCACAATTCAAAAGGAATAAGATACACGATTTTTTATATAATACACAGTGCTATAATGTGCATTTCTGCGTCAGTGATTTTTAACTTCGCGCCTAATTTCGCAAGAAAAATAATTATTTCTAAAAAAGTACGGTCTGGGGAAATTTAGCCACCCTACGCTAAGGGTAAATTCGCACCTATTTTAAATACATATTTTTATATTTGACGAGCTGGCTAACGAACAGACTACCAGCAGCAGCAACAAATATAGGACGTCAACAAAAATGGTACGCTTGATCAGTGTAGCATATTTTCAGGCGTTAAACTCCCTACATTTTTCAGGTGACGAAATTTCCCCAGTTGTGTGGTGATTTTACCCCCTTGTGTGGTGAGATTGCCCCAGTATATTGGTTTTACATTTTATTTTTTTATAAATCACCAAGCTAATTAAAAAAATAGGGGAATGTCACATTTTAAAGCTTGGTGCTAACCGCATTCAACAATAAAAATAGAAATATGATAACGTGTCTCAAGATGGACAAAAAATAGCTTTGAAAAAATGCTGACGAAATTCCCCCACTCTCCCCTACTTTATTTTCGTCTCTCTCATGATCAGTAAACCAAACACTTGTCCCCACTATTCATCGGAGTGCCCAGAGCACAACCGAATTCCCGACCGAATTCCGCCGAATTGCTCAGCGGTCCATTAACATCCCATCTCTCCGGCGTGTGCTGCATCAGCGGCATCGAGTCCAGGATGGCCTCCTGGTTATCCTTTGCCCAGCAGCGTGTCTGAGCGAAGTATATGAAGAACAGCTGAGTGTTGGTGAAATTCAACTGCGGCAGTGTTTCCTTCGCCAGGATCAAGCGCATTTTCGGATCCTGCTGCTCCAGCCAAGCCAAATAGGCATTGAAGGCCAAGTTGAGACCGCTGCCATCGGCTATAATCTCTCTCAGCCTGGTGGCATTGCGAAATTCCGCGGGTTCATTGTACAAGTAACTACTGTACTGAGCCCGCTGGCATTCGCTGACATTTCGGTAGCCAGACATGGTCTGCTCGTTCCACTGGGACGTCGCCTGGGGATGATTGTTCCATCCCTCGTCGTCGAAGGCCTGAACCAAAGCGCTGGCCAAACGGTGACCCAAAAGAGCGTATTTCAGGGCCCTCGGGTAGTGAGGATTGTAGTAGGGAGCCTGCAGTAGACCCCATCCCACCAGAACCAATTGCTGACGCGGCGAAAGGGCAGCTCGCACCTCGAAAGCATCCGAACCATCGACATCCTGGCCATAATCGTTGCCCTTCAGGCGTTCGAACTGCTGACGTGAACGATACTTGAGGGCGTTCTCCAAACGCTGCCAGTAGTCCCCAAACGAAGCCAGTCTGGGATCCGAGAGATCCAAGCTCTGGTAATCCGGCAGTGTGACGCGATATTGCGATGATCTGGTGCGAGCCGCCCTTCGATCATTTTCATCCATCCACTCCACACGAAACTGCTCCTCGAGCGCCTTGATCACATCGTTGAAGACCTCCTCCAAATCATGTTTGGCATTGTCGCGCTGCACATGGCGCTGGAACATCTCCCCGAGCACCTGGGGAAAGAGTCGTTGCGTGACCTGGACGCACTGGCGGCCACGATTCGGAGGAACCTCCTCCGGCGGTTTATTCAGTTCGTTGAGCGCCACGTAGATAATATAGCTACCAACGGTGATGCGATTATTGGCCTTGACAGTCCTCACCAAGTGCTTCACGTATTCCGGGGAGCGCAGATAGACATCCGATTGGAACTGACCCTCCAGGATGATCTCTACGAGCAGCTTGAAGTCCAACTGATGGCCCATCTCGTTGGTTAGCTCGGCCAGGGTTAATCCGGGCTTCTGGCGACGCAAACGCTCTTGGCCAATTCGCGAGCGAGCTCCGTAAATGGGCGGTGGCGCCACCTCTTCCTCGGTCTTTAGGATATCCTGCTCTCCCATCTGCTTGCAGAGCTCAAACTCGAATCGTATGATGTCCCCTGCAAACCGAGCAGCCTCTTCGGTGGAGATGCCAAACCAATCGCGCATGTTGTCCGCCACCTGCTGCTGCACCTGCTCATAAACTTCGCTATCCAGTTGAGCTGATCGCGTAATCAAGGCGTTGCAGTGCTCCGCGGGGATAATGGTTAACTTGGGATCTCCAAAGTATATGCTATTGCCCTGCATGTTCTGCAGATTCAGATCGATTTCCAAACCGAGAAGTATGTCCAGTCCGTAGTTCCGCCTGAGTTCAGCCAGCGTTTGCACCCACTGACGGCTGTGCTGCCAATTGGAGTTGGGCACGATGCGCAGTCCGCCGTTATCCTTGAGAATCTTCATCAGGAAGCGACGACGTTCGCCGGCATTCGCCTGCACGGCCACGCAGGATTCGTAGAAGGCTCTCACCTTCCGGACATTCGCCATACTGGGAGCACTATAGCCGTTTGGATGATGCGGTGGTGGCAGTGGCTGCGTGAGGAGCTGCTGCAGCTGCTCCGAGATTTTCATCTCCATCAGCTGCTGGGCCGTGAACAACTCATCGGGACGCAGTGGCCGCTTGTTATAGCGACCCCACTGACCGCAGGCATACTCGAAGAAATCCGTACACGGATCGGCGCTTAGATTCATGTACTTTTTCACTTCCGCCGCCATTTGTTGGCGCACCATTTGCTCCTCGCGTGTTTCCTGGGCGATTCCGCCCATCTGCATGCGATGCATGTGGTTGTTTTGTCGGCCCTCAGTCAATTGGGAAAGCTGGCTTCCAAGGAGGAGCAGCAATTCGAGCAGAAAGCCCAACCAAGCGCTTCTGGTAGCTCTCATCTTGGCGTTGAAAAGTGGACTGAGCTTGATAAGCCCCCTGATCGGAAGCTTCTCCAGGCTGGGCTTGAACCTGGGAGAACTGGGTCAAGTTCGCTCTCAGTCCCTGGGGGTTATCGCACCCATTGGAGCTCTGAAATCCGCGAGAGAAGTAAACAAACTCGGCCTCGCAGCCTCCGAGAACTTGGCATTGACAGCTAAATAACACCAGTCGCTTGGTGACAAGGTTTTACTACTATCAAGCCAAGGAATGTTGTAATTCCTAAGTCTGAGAAGGTTTATAACCCCTTTACCAGACAGAAAAGCATTTCCGATCTATAATCTATACACGAATCAGCTAAATTACAAGAAATTTTTATACTTGCATGTTTTGAATCTATAGAATGTAAAAATGTGAGCGCTAGACACGTTTTAAAATAGTTTGTGGGCGATTGTGGGCGTTAGAGGGGGCGTGGCGCTCGGCTGAAATAAACTTGCGCTGCGTAGGAAGCCCCAGAATATGTGTGGGTAATCCCAAATTTCTAGATTTTGTAGTTTCCGAGATCTCATCACTATGGACGGCAGTCCATGTAGTGACGAAGCGCACCAGGAGAGTGTGCGAAGGCGACTACTATATATACACGAAGAAATGAAAATCTACTGTGATGGTCCGATCATAATGAATGATACACCTATCGAAAGGTATTGCAAAAACTAACAGGATTGCATACCAAGACTCTAAGAAAATCAATTGGCTTGGGAGAGAGAGCGGTGAAAGTGAAAAAGTGAAAATTTCGAAATTTGGAGCTGTTGGGGCCGGTGGGGATAATTGCCCCCTCGCAATATTTTACTTGTATTCCTTTTGAAAATACCCGTCGAATGAGGGGTCGTTTGTCAAAATCCGACGCTCCGTTCAAAAGTTATAGCCAAAATAAGATTTTCTTCGTCTTCCCAAAATGAAAATTTAATTCTGTTTGTCAGTTTGTCAGTTTGTCAGTTTGTCAGTTTGTCAGTTTGTCAGTTTGTCCAAAACATGTTTTTTAAGTTTTGAAAATTTTATATGACGTTCATGACATCGATATAAAAAACTTTTGTTCTACCACTTTTGGAAAAACTCGCTAGTTTAGCGGGAAAACAGCTATAAATAGCTAAACATCGGAAAGCCGTAACTTCTATACTACTAAAGCTACAGACTTGTGCTGCATCTCGTTTGAAAGGTATTTTTAAATGCTATAAACGCCTTCTATATGCAATTTGTGTAAATGTAATAATTAAAAAAATATGAACAAAAGACAATTTTTTAAAACTTTTTTTTTAGCTTTTTTTTATTTTTTTCAAAAACGGCTCTAACGATTTTCTTTAAAACCTTAAACTGTATAGCCCTTGAGATTCCTTAAATTTTGGTATACAACACATTACTGTAAAAAGTCACGTTTAAAAGTTATTTTTATACGAAAATAGCCACTTTTGCCAGCTCGAACAATTAACGCTCCCTGACTATTGAATTTTGTGGGAGGGTATCCGAACTGTATTTTATGGTCATGGAATCAGTAAATTTGCACTTAAGAGTTCCATATAGGAATCTTTTGTTCTACGACTTTTGGAAAAAGCCGCTACTTTAGCGGGAAAAAGCTAAAAATAGCTAAATTTCGTTAGTTTGTAAGTTCTACACTACTAAAGGTACAGACATGTGCTATACCTCGTTTAAAAGGTATTTTGAAATACTTCAACGCCTTTTTAAATTAATTTGTTAAAATACAATAGTTTAAAAATTATGATTGACCAATTTAAATTTAAATGTATATATTAGCTCCTATGAGAGCAAATGTAAACAAACAAAAACTTCTGATATCAAATAAAAACACCTCTTAACGAGGTAAAAAACTAGTGACGACCGCACCTTCAACATACAAAAGTTCTGATATCAACATTTGTGACGAAAAATTATTACACTCGTCATTAAATAGACTTTCTAATATTTTCTCATTCGGCACGCTGCAATAGAAAATGCCTGTGAAGGGAAAAATGCTGGAATAGTTTGCTAGGGCGGGCCGAATGAGAAAATATTAGAAAGTCTATTTAATGACGAGTGTAATAATTTTTCGTCACAAATGTTGATATCAGAACTTTTGTATGTTGAAGGTGCGGTCGTCACTAGTTTTTTACCTCGTTAAGAGGTGTTTTTATTTGATCGTTCATACGGACGGACAAACATACGGACAGGCAGACGGATATGGCTAGATCGAACTTTTACCAAAAAAAATAACAAATGTAATAATCATAATAAGGGTAATGTAATATATTTTCAACTCAATAACTCTTAGTATATGGTACACTTGTTGGCAGGATTCATGGGTGAACCGATGGGACACCGGAATTCCCTGGCAAACTCAGCCGAATTGCGCAGCGGACCGTTCACCTGCAGACGCGTCCACGAGTGATTCTGTCGTGCGCTGTAGAGGAATCCGCCCGGTGTCCCTTGCTCATCCCTGGGTCGAATCTCCTCCAGACTACAGTGCTGCTGGGCATAGGCCACAAAGAAAAGACCCGTATTGGTGTAATTAAGTTCTGGTAGGGTCTCCTTGGTCAGAGTATTAAAGTCGTTGTTGGGCTCCTTGAATCCCAGCCAGGTTAAATATGCTCGAAAGGCGACATTAAGGGCTCCACTGTCCGTGATCAGCTGCCTGGTGGCACTCTCATTGGCCCTCAAATAATTATCCACCTGGCGGGCAAAGCAAATGCTGCGCTTGTGATATTCCCAGGCTGTATCGCCATCCCAGTGATCCCGCTCCAGTAGGCCAATCGACCAGTGCGGGTCGTCGAAAGCCATGACCAGCTGTTGAGCCAGCCTTACGCCCAGTGTGGCATAGCTGTGGGCGTGGCCATAGTGGCGATCGTAGGCTGGCGGCTGCAGCAGGGCCAATCCCATATCCAAACGTCGCTGAACCGGTCGCAGTCGCACCCTGGCCTCAAAAGCCTCCACGGGATCGGCGGGAGCCACAAGGAATTCTTCGAAAAGGCGGTTATTTCTTTGCGACTGAACTGCGCCCAGCAGCTGGCGGAGATTGTACCAATAGTTTCCCCGCTCCAGCTGCAGTTTGAGGATCAGCGGATGCTCGTAACTTGACATCTGTAGCTCCAACTGCTTCAGCTTTTCCCGACCCACCCGCTGACTGCTCTCCACCAACCAATCCGCGGACAAACTTTGCCAGAGAGCAGTCTTCAGTTGGTCATAAAGGTTTTTAAGATCCGCTGTGCTATCCTCAGTGCCAAACTGGCGGGCATATAGTTCTCCCAAAGCTGAAGGAAGTAGATTTTTAGTTCGCTGCAGGCACTCTGCCTTTCTCGTCTGCGGTCGATCATCTAGAGGGAAATTGAGAGCAGAAAACGCTCGATACATAATATAGTTGGCCACCAGACTGATATTGTGAGCGGACACAGTGCGTTTCAGTTGGCGAAAGTATTCGGGTGAAGCCATGTAGACTGGCTTAGTGATATCCCGGTCATAGCTGCCCCTCACATATGATTTCAAATCCATTTCGAAGATGTTAGAAAACTCGAACAACGTTCTGCGGCTGTAGTTCGCCAGGTAGAGTTGCGCCTCGCCATCCCAGGGTTCAAAGGGAGCACCTCGCATACCACCACATAGCTCATGCTCGAAACTGAGGATGTCGGCGGCCAAGCGACCGGATTCCTCTTGTCCCAGTGCCAGCCAAGTCTTGAGTTCGGCGGCCACTCGCTGCTCCAGCGGTTCGTAAATGGAGTCCCTGATGTCGGAGCGATTCCGGGTGCACAGTTCGGCAGGAATCACAGTGCTGGGTTCGCTTAGGTACAAGCTGTTCTCGTTCACATTGCCGTAGTTGTAACCCACTCGCAGTCCGATGAGAATGTCCATGCCATAGCGGAGCCTTAGGCCACCTAGCACTCGTAGCCAATCGTAGTCGTGGTGATGCACCGCCCATTGGGAACCCGGAACCGCTGGGAATCCTCCGTTCTCCGTGATGAACTCGCTGAGGAACTGCTGCTGCTGCTGACTCTGCGCGGCCTGTGCCGCCACGCAGGACTTGAAGAACTCCTTGGCCTGGCGAGCCAAAGGGCTATCCTCTCGCCTCACAGCCTCCTCGAGGAGCAGGAGAAGCTCTCGGTCTGTTTGCTGCTGCAGTTGCTCCTTGGGCGTAGAACTTGATTTCCAATTGCCACAGGCATAGGCATAAAAGTCCACACAGGGATCGATGCTCTTGTTCACATGGCCGCCCATCTCCTGAGCCTTCGCACGACGCACCGGCTGTTCCGATTGGTAGATCCGCTTAAAGGGCGGTGAAGCCTCGCCAGAAACCCTAGCATTTTGCTGGAGGTGCGCCAGCCAGAGGAGCCACAGGAAAACAACTGTCGTCCATCCCGCGTCCGACATGCTGCCGGAGCTCGGTGAAGCTATCGACTGCCTTCCCCATTCGCAATCGCATTCGAACAGCCCGAGAGTCCGAGTTGATATGGCCATGGGTCACTAGGGGTTATCGGGCTTCAAGAGAGTGAAGAGGAGCGAAAAATACAGATTAACATCCAGAAACTGATGGGGATGTTGTAAGCATTACAGAGAATTACTCTGGAATTATTTGAGTCATCTTATATTCTACAAAATTATTGCGTAACTAAATATGCCTCTTCTTCGATGCTCTTTTTTTAGTAAAAAGATGTCGAAAATATCCAAATGATTTTTCTAAAATTCAAATGTTACTTAAACCATTCAAATACATATTTAAGAGTAAACTTCTGGCATCCATAAACTGATGAGAATGTTGTAAGCATTACAGAGCGTTACTCTGGAATTACTTGAGTCATCTTATATGCTACAAAACTCTTGCGTAGTTCAATGTGCTTTATCTTCGATGCTCTTCTTAAGAAAAATATGCCTAGGATTACAAATGATTTTTCTAAAATTCAATTGTTTCTTATACCATTCAGAAACATTTTTCTTTTAAACTTTGATACATTACTATTATTTACTCACAACATAACAAAGTTTAGTTAATTTCCTTTAAACTTGACAGTTTGCTGATTAGCTTTTTAAAGTTAATACAACTTGAATTAGTCATTCTAGAACTGACTCCCAAACTAATTTATTTTTAGCTTCGATAAAAAAACATGACTTATACATTTTTGGTGCCTACTTTTCCATATTTTTCTGTATTTAAATTATTTGAATATAAGTTTTATGGACTTCAAATAGATTTAGTAAAAGGAATAGCAATAATCTTAAAGATTACCAAAAAGAAACTCAACTGACAAGTGCAAGAAAAGCTTTTATTTGGCAAGCATATTTCGTGGCATACATTTAACAGATATGGAGGGCAGGTACTCCTCTCAGTAGAGGGTGCACTTGAAGCGGGCGTTTAGCTTATCGTCCCTGGAGCAACCGAAGGCATTGGCGAACTGCTGCGAGTTGGATAGCGCCGTATTGATGCGCAGCTGCTCGGGAAGCTCATCGAAGACCTCCAGAGATTCCGGGTAATCGGTGCAGTAAAGCTGCGCATAGCCCAGATAGAATAGCTGATTGTGATCGTGATCGAGTAGCGGAAGTCGTTCCCGCTGATATATAATCGGAGTTTCGGCCGCATTCTTCAGCCATTGCTGGTAGGCGCGATAGGCGATGTCCAGGGCGCCATTATCGGCCACAATTCGTCGCAGCAGATCCTTATCCTGCACCGGTTTACCCTTGTACTCCACAAAGATGGCATACTGCTCCTGGAAGCACTGGGTGCGTCGGGCATATGAACTTTCCGAGGTGTTGTCCCACCAGTTGTTCTGATAACCGTAGGCATCATAACGCCGGCCCACGCCATCGAATCCGTGGAGCATTTGGCGAGCGAGGAGCACACCCAGTGTGGCATACTTGAGGGCATTCGGATAGGCGGGATCCCAGAAGAATCTCGCTTGCAGGAAAGTGATCGGCACCTGGATGCGATTCTTCTGGATCTCGTAGTGCGGCAGCTTGTACACCTGATCCTCGGCCACCGGTTCCTCCATCAATTTGGCCAAACCGCGTTGTGTTGTCCACTCGAGAACCTTCACTAGGTTCTCGTAAAAGCGATCCGTGTGCAGATTGAGACCGTGCATCTGGCGGATCAACTGGTTGTCGTCGTGGGTGCGGAACTGCAGCTTCAAGGACTCCAGCTTGCTGATGGCCTTCTGCCGGGTCTCCAAAGTTAGCCAGAGCAATCGCTCCGAGGCCTGAAGATCCTCGCGAAAGACTCGCTTGATATCCGACCATGTGGACTGCAATTCATTGATCATCTGCATGTGGTTGTAGTTGCGATGGAACAGGCTCTCCAGTTGGTGGGGGAAATACTGCTGGGCCAGTTGGACACACCAGATATCCGGTTGCTGGGATGAAGGCACTCGAGCAGCATCCAAGGCTTCGAGAGCCTTCCACATGGTGTAGTTGGCCAGCTGGAGTTTCGGAGTTTCCCGTATCACATCCACCAGATTGGAGAGATAATCCTCGGGTGTCTCATACAAATCCATGTACAGGTTGTCGTTGAAAATGAGCTGCATATAGCGAGTGACATCCACATAGCTACCATAGGCGGCCTTCATTTCGGCGGCGGTTCTCTGGCGAGTGGTTTGCTCCAAGGTGAGCGCCGGATTGTGGGGCAATCCCTTGGCCAGCTCCTTCTCTACATCGACCACCTGACTGGCCACCTCGCGCAGCCAGTGCTCCGATTGTTCCGGGAAATATAGCCGCAGCTTCTTTTCGATCGATCTTTCGTAGAGTTCCCGAGTTCCCTCAAAGTGGTCGTTCAAGTAGTGACGACGTGACATGGGAAACTCGGGTGCACCGATCTTCAAGCGATGCATTTTCTCCTCCTTGTAGTCGAGGATCACTTCCAAGCCAATAAAGATGTCCACGCCGAGCTTGCGCTTTAGATTCGCCACCACCTGCAGCCAATCGTACTCGTACTGATACCAGGAGGGCACTCGAATTTCCGGCCAACCGCCTCGGAAATCGGCCACATTTTGCAGGGTAGCCAAAGCGGAGCGCGTATCATTCGTTTGAAGCCTACATGAGCCGTAAAAGTTCTTCAACTGCCGATCGGCACTGTTTTCCGCCCCTCGCGTAGCACTTTTAAGCATTTCGGCGCTTTTTCTGATATACAACTCCTGCAGTTCCTCCAGATAGTTGGTCCGGTGATTGGACAAACGAGCGGGATGCAAACGGGGCCAATTGGCGCAGGCAAAGTGGTAGAAGTTGGAGCAAACCTCCTCCTTGTCCTCGCCCATATAGGCTTTAATGTGGGCCGCTTTGGCCAGTCGCAGGATGTCAAAGGTATAGTTGGCGGCCAGAGGATGAGGCGGTGAGGCCCTGGATATGCCAATGGAGAGCAGGATGACTCCCAGCAGGAGTCCAAGCGGTTGATGGACCATTTTCGACTTAGCGACTTTCCGTGTTCCGATCCGAATGATTGCCGAAACGAAACTGAGCGGGAATCGAGAGATGCGTCGATTTTTGACTTGAACAGAGGCTTATCGTCGCCACAAGCACCGCTTGATTGGTTAATTAGTTCCATTAACCGATGCAGTGAATTTGCTCAGCCTCTCAATTGCGCGACTGACCTAAAATTCTAATTTAAGTGCTCACTTTCGTCTATTTCTGTTTCTCTTTCTCTCGCATCTTGTAATCGCGTCTTCTGGGCTGTATTCGCACTTGACCCCCTCAAGGTAGCTGCTCTCAGAGCCCCCGACTCTTCTATATGTGTACAAGTTAATGAGCTAATGACTTTTCCGGGCCCAAGGTTGGGGGCGACTCATCATCATCATCCTGTAGTAGTTGTAGTGTATAATTAAAATTTGTGTTTGCGCTCACTTAGTTGGTTCGTGCCGTAATTCTAATGAATCCCCCTCTTCTTCCTCTAATTGCAGATTGAAATTTTCCTCAAGCTAGATTTCTAAAAACATTTTTACCACGGAAATTGACTAGAAATTGCCAGCCAGCAATCATCACCAGACAACAGCCATCAAGGAAACTTCACACACGGTAAGGGATTGTCTTTTTCCTAGCACTTACTATGAATACAGTTGCGGTCAAAGTAATAGTTATAAAAATATAAGAAATATGCGGTGATTTAATTAAAATCTATAAAAGCAGTAGGTCGAAAAAATGATATTGTGGCGTTTCAGAAAGTTCTTATTTTTCTACAGATCACAAAATATTCAATATGCTACTTTTTATAAATTGACCGTAACTGTATGTCCTAAATAAGTACACTTATTTTCTGCACTCGTAAATTATAACGGCTAAGTGGCACTTTTGGTACAAAGCCAAGACCCAAAGCCATAACTTACTGCACTGTCATCCGCTTGGAATCCATTAACTGTTTGCCACAAACTTGCTTTCAAAGTTGCGTTTATTATTTGCAATGGCGCTATGAGAACTTTTCACTTTCCGTCTGCATTGAGTGGGAATAAATAATGTAGTAAGTATTCGCTACAGCTACTTCTTAGTCACTATGTTAATACTTGATGTGCCGCCTAACCAATGGTGGATTTAAGGGTTTGTCCGTTGAGACGTGGATCCAATTCCACGGGATTCAAGGAATAGTTGTACTTGACATGATAGCCCCTGTTGTCGGCCACATAGATGGACGTTTCCACATAGGCGTAGTTTTTCTCATTGCCCTGCAAAAGCGTTGAGGATGTGCGTGTGCCCGTGATGATCAGTTGGGGTTTCTCGCCAGGTTCCTCGGAATTATCCACGAGCTCTCCCTTTTCATCTCGGGTCCCGTAAACCTCTTTAATGCTAAGTACAAAAATGGCACGTACATTTAGATTTCTAAAAGGTATAGTCATTCAAACACTCACTGGAATTCGTAGAGCACTTTGGTGGACGCATTATTCCGATGGATATATAAAACAAGCAATACAAACACCAACAGGCACTGGAAAAATTTGTTTGTTATTATTTTGTTTACACAATGTTTTCTTGGAGATCTTTTACCCACCGCATTGACTCTGATCATTCTAATTCAATTTGCTGAAATGCACTGAATGAATGAAATCCCTGATGCGATTACGATATTTATTTGTTTTGTGTTCTTGCAGTAGTTGCAATCTCTACTACGGAACTAGTTAAACCGGTCGCTAACATTGCAACTGAGAGTTTTCGATCTGACGATTCCGCACCACTTATTCTTCGGACAGATATAGAGAGAGATATTTATGATATTTCTGACTTTTTCTAATTTTTCTGATGTGCTGTCGGCCCAAACGCCCCAAACGGGTTTCCTCCACTCGTGCTGTGACTATTTCCATCGGTATTGGACTTGCGATTATTGACTGGATTTAATAATTGCCCTCCCAGCAATGTTGATTGACAGTAATTGCCTCTATTGGAGCGTCTAGTCTTTGGGGGTTTTGTGTGTCATCAAAGCGCCGGGAAAAATCCCTGGGAAATGCTGGAAATCTTTTCCTTTTGGGGGTTGTTTCCTAAGCTTAAAATTTCCATAATCTCAAAGGCCTTCAGAAGGTTATTTTTATTACATTTTGAAGGACTAGCACATTTTATTAGTTATAGTGAAAATTGGACAAGTATTTTCCCCCTTAATCGAAATTTTCCCATTGGGTTAACGTCTTTAGTCGTTGATAAAACCGGAGAGAATTTTCCAAATGAATTCGTAGTATTTGTTTCTCATTGTCTCTATAAAAAATCCTTGATGTAGCAAAAAAATTTGCCACGGCCATACAGCCAAGCAGAAAAAATATAATCTATTTAAGTAAATGTTTTATTAATATTTTGAAATGCTGTGATTAATTTAAAATACTTACAGTCAGTTTCATTTTTAATCTAGTACTAAAACTCTGTGTCTTGGGAAGTGGGGTTTTATAGTAAAAATGCTGTTAGTGGGTAAATCCTAAATAATTTGCAGCATATACAATATACACGACTTTAGATTGTTTGATTAATTACGCTTGAGAAAATAAAAGCACATTAATATTTAAACAACTGACTTGCTTTATTTGTGTATTACTGAAAAGTGGTTAGTAGAATCTGTTAGAACAATGCTCCAAATGCATTCAGAATTTTCGAACCAATTCGTTTTACAATACCCACGGGAGCAGGAGAAGGATCAGGATCGCACTCGACTTTTTTGACTTGAGGTGTAGCTGAGGTGGAAGAGGGTGCAAGAGTCGGTAAGGGTACCAAAAACCTTTCCGTACTGACGTCTCCAGGATTAATAGTCATTGTACTAAGTTGAAAGAAATCCCTTTCTGAAATCGTAGTCTCTGTAGGATTACATAATTTCAAATTCATTTGAGACTCTCCAGAGTCCCGGGATGGGCTTAAAAATCCCAGGTCGATGCCAAAAGCATTAGTGAAGGCAACCCAGCCAAGTAGGAGAAATAGAATCTATTTATGAAATGGATTGGTAGATGTAAAATCGCAATGTAGTCCGGTTTTCTTGGATACTTACACTCAGTTGCATTTTCGATTCGATACTGAAGCCATAACTCTCTGACAGTCCATTTTATATTGCTCTCATTGGTAGTTAGTAATTCATAAACTACCCATTCAGATATATAGTAAATAAAAACGAGTTTTAGATTAGATGAATTATGACACATACTGTGTGACATTATTAATCCATTTAATCTAATATGGACTTATTGCTCAAATCTTTTTTTTTTTTTACCTATTTATTAAGTATATATTTTTGTAATTTATCTAACTTGACTATCCCAATTGTGTTTTAACAAGAGTTTTTAGAGTTTTCGCATCCAATCGCGATCCTAAACCCTCGGGAAGAGGTTCGCAATCATCAGGTATTTGATCACTGATTTCCAAGCTGTCTTCGGTTGCACTTGAGGTTGAAGGTGGCTTAAGAGTGGGTAAGGGTACAAGTTTTCTTGCCCTGGGGGTAGGTACATTTTCTTCATCTTTTACTTCGAGGATTCGCGGTGCTAATGTCGGTAAAGGTACAATCTTTCTTTCCTCTCCACTGCTAATTATTGAGGAAATTGGTTTGAGGGTTGGCAGGGGTACAATCTTTCTGTTATTATTAACAATAAATTGTACACTATTTAATTCCGTTGAACTTGAAATGTAACTGGGAGCAAGAGTTGGTAGAGGTACAAGCATTCTTGTAGTGGCTGGAACGGGAGTAGTTGTACTTCTAGGTAGTTCATTTGGCTCAATGAATTTGCAGTGCTTAAAACTCCGTTCTACATTCTTAGACGAAGGCGGAAGATAGTTTTCATTAGATCCCATATTTTTTGATGACGTTGACGGTGGGTTTGGGTCACTTGAATGTACAAAGGCAACCCAGCCAAATAACACGAATATAATCTGTATGAGATAATTTTATTAGCACTATTTCACAATGTATTTCCGTTTAATTAGCTACTTACACTCAGTTGCATATTTGATTCGATACTAAAGCTTTAACTCTCTGGCGGTGGGTTTTATACTGAATTCGCTCTTAGTGAGTTTCCCATTCTACTGATATAGGAGGAATATGAAAACGGGTTTAGATCTATAGATGGATTTCGATATATACCGCATGACGTTCTAAGAATCAATTAAGGTCAAGACAGAACTTTTATTGGTATTTATGCAGGTGCTATTGTTTTATTCAAGAAAAGTGTTTTTATATAATTAATGTTTCACATAACTATCCGCTTTGATGTTTGTATTTTGTAATTGTATTGTTTTTATGCAACAAAAATTAAAATTTTTATTGAACATAACTATCCGTTTTGAGGTAAGTGCTTAGTAACGAGTGTTCTTAGAGTTTGAGCATCCAATCGTGATCCCAAACCCTCGGGAATGGGTTCGCAATCATCCGTATTTTGATCAGCGTTTTTCAAGTTGGGTTTGGTTGTACTTGAGGTCGAAGTTGGGTTAAGAGTGGGTAAAGGTATAAGTTTTTTTAAAATAGAGCTAGTGGAGGAAGTGGGTTTATTGTTTTCCGTTGAACTCGAAGTAGAACTGGGATTAAGAGTTCCTGTGGAGGTTTCTTGAGGAGAAGTGGCACCAATGTGAAGGTCCTTTGGCTCTGAATTCGTAGTTCCAGTGGGTTTGCATTGTTTTAAGATCGGTTTTACCTCCTCAGACGAAGGCTGATTATTGTTTTCATTGGATGGCGGCTTTGCTGTTGACGGCTGACTGAGACCATATGAATTTACAACGGCAATGCAGCCGAAAATCACAAATATAATCTATATGGAATATAATTTTAGCACTTCTTCACATTGCAGTTCGGTTTACTAGGATACTTACACCCAGCTTCATGTTTGATTCGATACTAAAGTTTGAACTCTCTGCCAGTGGGTTTTATACTGAACTCATTCTTAGTAAGCTTCCTATTCTACTATATATACGGGTTATATACTATTTATACATAAAAACGGGTTTAGATTGCTAGACGGATTGTGCTACATACTTCAGGGCGTTAAGAAAAATCAATCATAGGTTAATTAAAACAAATGCGTTTAAAAGCTTTATTTTTAAACAAGTATTTTTAATAGAGTTGGACTAAGTCGAGCCCCGACTTCTTTGGGTTTATTGCATTGATCTCCTGGCTTATAATTGCAGTCGTTATCATGATTATCAATTGGAATTATTGGAGATGTCCGTATAGTTGTTGGTCTTTCTAATATCGTAGGCTTTTCCGGGGATTCGGTTGGAAAATAATCTTTATCGATGACATTTTGAACAACAAGAAGCTTTGAATCACTTATATTTAACTTAGTGTCAGAAATAGCTTGTTGCTTATCTATTTGTGTTCCAGGTGTATATTTTACGTTTGCGACAATCATTGTCCTTTGATTTATGTTCACAGTTCCACTTGTTTTGTTATTAGTTGAATCTGGTATCACTGGACTTTCATTATTTTGAACCGTAAAATTTGGTGCTGTGGCATTAACAGTGAGGCCGTAGGAGTTATCCAAGGACATCCACACAAGTAGAAAAACTATACACTAAATTTTATTTGCATTACTTAAATTTTATTCTTCAAGCACGGCTTTTTGCGATACTTACAATCATTTTCATTTTCACGTTGTTACTGATAGAAAAAAGCTTGAATGATTGAATTATATATTGAGCTTGGTGGTAGTTAGTAATTCAGAAAGTTTCCCATTTAGATTGACCAATTATAAAAACTGGTTGAGATTTCTAGATTGATTTTGATGCGTACTTTAAGGGATTTCGAGAAATTAGCGAAAGTACTCTACAGTTTGTGTAACTTTTACAACGGATGTTTTTACTTCACTTAGGGATTCTTGTGAACCAGTGATTTTAACGCAGGTGCACTAAGCATTATATAAAAATGCTCGAAAGGATTCGTATCATTAGTTCCCGCGTTCGTTTTCTTCGTATGGAAATCTCTCAAAAAAGTCAGAAGCTTTGATGTTTCTTCTTTCGGATGAATTTTTTCCAAGTCTGGGGAGTCATCTTTAAGGCCATATGATTTACAAAGTATGGCCAGTACAAGGATCAGGATACAATTCTAAATAGAATAGAAAATATTTTTGTATATTTGTAATATTAACTTTTAACTATAGTAGCACTTACAATCAGTCTCATTTTCACTATGATACTGATGCTTGATGTCGCTGGAAATTCAATTTATATCAAATCTCTTCTAGATGTCAGATTATAATATCCTCTATTGCTGTTTATGAAAACGGGTTCCAGTTTATTGAGTGAATTCTAGATGGCGTGTGAAAACACAGCATCAAGTCAAATTAGAGATGTAGGATTATTAAATGTGGATCAATCACTAGTGAAATCAAATCAAATCAAGTCAAGTTAATGTTCAGTATTGTTATATATTCAATAAATTATTAGCCTAATGACTAATTTAATTTCAGAGTTGGTTCCAATAAATAAGCATAATTCAGTTAACTTATGCGAGAATCTTTAGTAAAGTGGCACTTAGTCTTATACCAATGGAATCTGGGTCGCAATTCTCCTCAAGAACTGGGTTACAATTGATGGTTGCATACTCGACATTAGTTGGCTCATTGGTGGTTTCAAGTTTATCTGAAGAACCTTTAGAAAATGTATCTTCTGTTGGTTGTCGTCTTAGGATGGATAGAAGCTTATGGATTCTAGCTTTTGATTTCACAAGCTCTTGTTCCTTGATAGTAATCAAATCGCTATCCTTTGCTCTGTGTTTAATTGCATCCTTAAACAATTCAGTCGATAAAAGCGGGTCCTTGGGTAATACGATCTCGGGATTTGAAGTTGTTGAGTTCTGGGTATCCAAGCCTCCACCGCCCCAACTTAACTTCAACAAGACGATAATGCATACAAGGAGTGTACACAATAGAAACTGTAATGATAAAAAACACATTTATTATTATCCTCTGGAATTACAGGGTTAATCGCCATCGGTACTTACAATCGCTTGCATGTTCAGTTCTGTTCTGTTATGAATTTCCACTGGGTAGTGAGTTTTATATCGACGTGGCGCTGCTCGTTAGCAATGCATAAAATTACCCAGGTAGACAGATCGATCGCTTAGCTTACAGTTTTTATAGTGGGGCTACCATCTAGCACGCTTGTATGGGCGTTGTTTGAATTGGGAAAATCTTTTTTAGATTATTACTACTAGTAGGGGCTTGAGAATCATTGATCTTTTCTATATTTACAACTGTGAATGAGATTTTCTCACGGGGGCTATGAATTTCAAACCCATAATCGTTAGCCCAGTTCTTGAAGCTGATTCATTCGATGAGAATTATGAATAAATTTGAATAAGTTGGTGTATCATAATAATGATTAAACTGATAAGTGCGACAATCCGTACTTCTTGGTAAAATTGCCACCCTCGGATGGCACGCGTCGTCATGACTCATGAGTTTTACTATGACTAGTCATTTTGAAATCGCTTAAAGCCTGTTTTAAAGGTAAACAAACGAAGCACGTTTTTTATACCCTTGCAATGGGTATGTTAATGTTGGCAATAAGTTGGCACGATAGTAAATGAGACAATATACCATTATTTTTGGCTACACATACAAAATATAAGTTCATTTAACGTGTTAGAAAAACAAATAAGATTTTTTATAGTTATATGTTTCTTAGAAGATCATTGGACTGGCAAAGGGGTTAATTTTCCAATCTAAGTTAGCAAAGGTTTAATTAAATATCATTTAACATCGATTTATTTTCTTTGAAATAGTTTCTTTTTTGTATTGTGCGCATTGTCTATTTAATAATAACAAGATGCAAATCTTATCAATTAACGACTGAAACTCTAGCTTGGAAAATAATGAATGAGCTTGATTATTTCAGCAACACTTTATAATTGCAGTGTTCTTCGAACATATACCTTATGCAAGAAAACTTGCTTTTATATTGTCATAGAATGAGTTATATCCAGTTTGGGTTGGAAAATCGTAGTGCTCAAGTCCCCTATTAGTACAATTGTATTTAAAGAACCATTTAATATCGAAAGCCAAAAAATGTTTAAATCTATTTATTTTATAATTTATGACGCTTTGTAAGGATGCTCATTAGGGCGGGTCGATTTGTATGGGGCCGAAAAAAGTGATGAATCGTATAGGGGGAACGTAATCTTTAAAGGATTCTAAGCCATATTGGCGAACATACTTATGGTCCCCCCAACGCGAATGAAAAATACAGCTTTTTTTGAGGAAAATATTATAGCAGTCAGCTCGGATGTATTACTAAATTTTAAATAAAAATTTGAAATTGATATTCAGTTATATATCTGTGCTGACTACTATGATATTTTTCTCAAAAAAACAGTATTTTTCATTCGCGTTTGGGGGGGGTCAAACATCATTTTAGACCATAAGTATGTTCGCCAATATGGCTTAGAATCCTTTAAAGATTACGTTCCCCCTATACGATTTTTGGGGTCCCAAATCGACCCACCCTAATGCTCATATCATTGTGCTTTAAGTTACTGCATTCCAGTTAGATAATTTCTCTGAACGCGGTTTATACCTATAATTATTTTATTAAATAATCCAAAATTAATTGACAAAATTTCCCTAAAACGCATATGGGAATTTTTTTAACTGCGTTGTATTGTTATGTAACCGAATTTAATCATTAATTTAAATAGGAACTCCCTTTCTAGAATTTTAATATTCATACATAATCCGAATGTATCTATTTTTATACAAAAATAAGTCGCATAAAGCTAATCTATTTGTATAATTGATGCATTCAGGCGATTCTAAGGAACTCAAACTTGATTACCATAGTTAGTGGGCCAGAAAAATGGCACTATGTCATAGGTTCTGTTACAAAACCAGGTGTGATCCACATTGTTAGTTATGCGAAGAGTAGAATTATTAAAAGTGGTTGGAAAAATCCCCTCTGAAACTGGGGCAAAATCAATAACTTCACGTAATGCAATTAAAACCATACAATCGATTTTAGCTTGAAATTTGTTTATTACCGCAAATTCATTAATATTGTTAGAAAAACAATAGTTTTTAAAGTTATATAACAGTTTGGGATAATCTTAGGTGTACAGGAACAAAGCTTTTAAGCTATTGACAATTGTTATAGCTAGTGAAATACATTTTAAAGCTTAATCACTTAAGGATAGTCAGTCTGGTAGTTAGTTTACTTTGCTTAAAAGGACACTTAAGCTAAAATCTTCAGCAGTTTGGCTGATAGATTATTTACTGGTTCCGTTTTAATTAATTTGCCGGCATTGGTGATGTTAGACTGGAATGAATAAAGATGCTCCAACGCGGCTGCTCCTTTGAACGAGGTGGAAGATTGTTTTCCAAGCGAGCCGGGTACTGATGCTTTGGTGCTCCTTGAAAACTGCCTTAGATGCTGAGAGGGATCCGATGCTAATCCAAAGTTTAGGGGCTTGGCTGACTGGTTGGCTTGGCTCTCGTGCTAACTGGTTAGTTGATGTTTCTTCTGCTGTCTGGTAATCGTAACTGTAAGTTTGCAGCGTCGAGCGCTTTGGCTTTTATACGATTCTCGGCGAGCGTGGAGCGGGTGCATCGCCCGTGGCACACGACCGGCACTCGCCAAGCCGGGCGTTGCGTGGCATGCGGAATTTTCCCACTCGACTGCCATCTATCGGTTCACAGAAAAATCACCGAACTCTCCAATTACGGTCTATAAAATTGACACTATATTTAGCCCTTACCGTCATCTCGATGTCTAGACATCGATCCAATTCCCTCTGTAAGCTGGCTTCGCGAATACGAAATTGAAAACCAGCTGCTCGTGCTGATTCACTCCAATGTTTGCATATGTTTAGCTTCGAATTACATGAGAACTCTCTGCTTATTTAAATTTGATTCACACTTGGACTTTGGACAACTCACACATAAAATACTTTTATGATTATTAATTTAACGAAAAATTGTGCTCGATTATCGTGAGTTCAGGCACGCAAATAATATTGCTCGAAATTTCGAAGTCGACCATGAAAGCTAATATAGGAAAGTGAATAAAATTTAACTAAAAAGTTTGGTTCTCTATTAAAGGTCATGGTCAGCTTATGCAATATATTCTGTCTGCCTGCATTCTACACACTGAGGAAAAATTTCTTATAAAATCAGAATTGTTATATATTGGTCAACTTTACTTCATACGTCTCTCGGAAATGTTACATAAATCAATGGTATATATTCTCAAAACAAATATTTAATGAACAAATTAGTTAAGAACTGAACTAGTATAAGATTTTATGGTATAATAAGCGTATTAAATTGGACTAAATTTGTGAAATTTAAATCTTGATTTTAAAAATGGTTTTTTCCTCAATGAACTCCCAATAAAATTGTGTAAAAAATAAACCAAATGCAAAACACCCAAGATTTAAAATAATTTTTGAGAGGGGATATAAGAGTTGAATCTTTGAAGATCTTCATTTGCTTTTCCTTACGCATTTTAGTTTTACAATTATTTGCTTAGTTTTTAGTGTCGCAAAATTTGAAAATCGAAAATAAAAAAAAAACCGATAAAGTAACATTAATCGAAATGATAACTACACTAAAAATGAAAGCAAAGTAAACATTAAAGATATTTTTAATTTCTGTTGTTTGTGTTATGCGAAGCAAACTCACGTGTATCCCCTCTTCAAAATTATTTATTTTCAGACAGTATAAGAGTGTTTTGCGCCTCTGCCCCCCAAATTAATATTGAAAGCAAACACTGTAGGCCAGATCATAAATGCTCTAACCAAAAGACCGCGCGATCCCGACGAACGACCGATTAAAAACCAAATAACCACGACGAGGACGAGAACGAGGACGATTGAATCAAAGCAACCACGGTGTGGTCATTTCTATACCGGTGTGCCGCTGCAGCTCCTGGTGCCGGCATGGGCGCCAACGTCTCGCAGCTGGAGCGGGAGATTGGCTCCGACCTCTTCCCGCCCAACGAGCACTACTTCGGGCTGGTGAACTTCGGGAATACCTGCTACAGCAACTCGGTGCTGCAGGCCCTCTACTTTTGCAAGCCCTTCCGCGAGAAGGTGCTCGAGTACAAGGCCAAGAACAAGAGGCCCAAGGAGACGCTGCTCTCCTGCCTGGCGGATCTTTTCTACAGCATTGCCACGCAGAAGAAGAAGGTGGGCTCCATAGCTCCGAAGAAGTTCATCACACGGCTGCGCAAGGAGAAGGAGGAGTTCGACAACTATATGCAGCAAGATGCCCACGAGTTCCTCAACTTCCTGATCAACCACATCAACGAGATCATTTTGGCCGAGCGAAATGCGGGGCCAAGCAATGGAAACCCCAAGTCCAACAATCCAGGCGGAGCCCCAAGTGCCATGGCGAGCAGCATAGCTAGCAAGTCCAGCTCCACGTCCAACTCGAATTCCAACTCCAATTCGACCAGCAACTCAAACGGAAACAGCAGCAACTCCACGGGCTCGCTGAATGCCACCACAAGTGTGTTGGATGCCAGTGGCAGTCTCACGGCCACCACAACGCCCATAATCTCCGGAAATGGAACCGGAACCAATGGGGCCAATTCGGAGCCCACCTGGGTGCACGAGATCTTCCAGGGCATCCTCACCTCGGAGACCAGGTGCCTCAACTGCGAGACGGTGAGCAGCAAGGACGAGAACTTCTTCGATCTTCAGGTGGACGTGGACCAGAACACCTCGATTACGCACTGTTTGAGATGCTTTAGCAACACCGAGACCCTTTGCTCGGACAACAAGTTCAAGTGCGACAATTGCTGCAGCTACCAGGAGGCGCAGAAGCGGATGCGGGTGAAGAAGCTGCCCATGATCCTGGCCCTGCATCTCAAGCGCTTCAAGTACATGGAGCAGTTCAACCGGCACATCAAGGTTTCGCACAGGGTCGTCTTCCCACTGGAACTGCGGCTCTTTAACACCTCCGACGATGCCGTGAATCCGGACAGACTCTACGATCTCACCGCGGTGGTCATTCATTGCGGCTCGGGACCGAATCGTGGCCATTATATATCCATTGTGAAGAGCCACGGGCTGTGGCTGCTCTTCGACGATGATATGGTGGACAAAATCGAGGCCTCCACCATCGAAGATTTCTACGGTCTGACCTCGGACATACACAAGTCCTCGGAGACGGGCTACATTCTGTTCTATCAGTCGCGGGACTGCGCCTAAAACTTTTATGTTATCGCCTACCATCTACTATCCAGTTAAGTTGAAAGTTTCCAATCTCGTGCGAAAGAATGCTAGAGCTAAGCCCAAAATTTTATGTCCCTTACTATCTTATCCAAGCATATACTATTACACAAAAATCAATAAAGATGATCAATAAAATATAAGCGATAGCTGATTGGTCTAGGTCAGTGAGCCTTGGTGGGTGACTGTCAGGGCCAGAAGTTCTGCGGCGGTTCAGTAAACCCATCTCAATCACCTGGGGGCTTGCCAATCGCGAGCCGGTGCGCACGTAAACAAATGGGCGATTTCCCGCATGCCAAAGCGGCTTCACTGTGGCTCCAAGCTGGTAATTTACTAGACGCTGGCTAACTTAGCTTAGGTAACCGGCGATCGTTGAATTTCATCAGAAATCCCCCCGCCAATTCGTCGGTGGGTCGCGAGCCGCCGATGAGGGAACTCACCACCGGTCACACAGGTGATTTGCCGCCAATAATTGTTGACCCCCGGACACTCGGGATGTTCGAGGGGCCGGCGGATCAGCAGCATCGTCGCACACTTAGTCACGTCGTCACAGACACGTGAGCCAACCATGCAATATATTGGTCAATGGTGTGGGAATATGCTAATTCCGGCCGATCAGCAGCATAAATCAAGCTCCGCAATTGTCTGGAGTTTTGAGAAGTGTTACTTAACCGATTAGATCTTAAGTGACACATCAGAGGCATTGGAATCCGGTTAGAACAATGAGTAAATATTGTTAGTACGAAATGTTTATTGCGGTCGTAATGTTATAAAATTTGCGATTATTCCAGAAGTAAGGTGTCATATGAAATGGGAATTTTTTTGGTCAAATAATAGATTGCTAAAATGTTAAATTTTTTAAGACTTTTTTAAATTTAAAAATTAAAGAGAGCATAATATTTTTTAGAGAGGTTTTGGTTAATAAAAAATTTAATTATTTTCTTCATTTTTATTTCCATATAAATCCTATTGCTTAATAGCCATTTGCTGATTGAATTTTCAAAGTGTCTTCAATCGTATATCTGCATAACAAATCTATTCATCCATAGATAATGGTAAAAGCTTTCACATGAACATATTTCCTTTTGGCTGAGAGAAAACTGACATTGACAGTTTCGATGGTTATGCAAGAGAAACAACCTGGCGATGCAACGGAGATTCAATTTTTATGTTTTTGTTATTTATTATTGTAAATTTCAAGGCTCCTCACATGCAATTGGTGGTGTTGTCTCGGCTTTTATCTATATCCATTGGCAAATGACATCGTTAAGCAACGCCAAACCCACGGAAAGACAGTGGGCAAGTTAAACAGGTTCAACGGAAAGTGAGCCTCAAGGCATATTTATGGGTTTTCTTAATGACGTGTGTTGAGCGTGGAAAAAAGAGTATTTGACTTGGCTTTAATTGATTAGATGTGGTTTGCAACCAACATCCGAATTGATTAACCCACGACCTTTCATTCATCTTTGTAACCATAAAGCAATTAGTAATTATTTAAGCACCAACTGTGATGAAATCAATTATAATATATTACCGTTTATTGTTTAGACCTTGTGACCGTCGATAGATTTAATTATAGTTCAATAAAACAAACACTGGCTCTATCATCGATCTTTAAATTATGTGTTAATATTCCATATTGTAGACATAAGTAGCTAAAAATATATTTTCCTTGATTTATTACATTTTATTTTTATTGAAGATTAATATTAAATTTTTAGGGAACTGAGAAGATATGGATTGTATTTAAAATAACCTATTTAATATTTTATGTGCATTCAGAGCATTTCAAGTTCGATTATATCTTGATATGGAGTTTTTCTTATTTTTGTTCGACTTGTCATTGGAAAGACTTACCAATTTGTACACGGACAAGCGTTAAACGCCATTGACAAGCGAGGAGAGAGAAGGCTTGTGGATAGCAGATAGTTGCACGCACCGAGTGGCTGCGTAGGTTTCGGTTTTTTGTCGCCTGTCTTTAAAAAACTCCGGCTCGTGGCGCACTTGATCGATCGGTTTTATCTTATGGAGCGACTAGACTATTCCGCATTTTATGGAGCGGTAATTACGCATGATTTCGACTTTCACTTTATGACAAGAAAAACCTCACTTGACGCAATTTCTTTCAGCATGTGAAATATGGGTGGCATGCTTGGGGTTTTGTTTTGTTTTTCTTTCTTTTTTGGTCACATCTGAGCTAAATTGACATTTGACATATTGCTGTTGTCAAGGTCTGCAACGCCAGCAACATCAGAAACATTCGAAACAGCAGCAGGAACACATCCATGCGGTTGTCAGGCCATGTTGCAACATTTTCCCGGCCTCCGCCCATCTGTTTCGTTTTCATTTGGGCCGATTGTGAAATTGTCAATATGTTTTTATCGTTCCCGCTGGTTTGATGCTGTTGTTGTCAAACTAGGAAGCGCCGATTCGCCTGTTGGTTTGTGTAATCGAAACAGCTTTCCTAGCGAAACTACTCATGTAAATCTCAATTTTGTCTCGGTTCCCCCTCGATGGTTTTGTGCTCTGAAAACTGAGCCTCTTTCTTCGAGAGTCTGTTCTTCGGGGATGAGTAAACAAAGAGTCCTCCATTTTCGACGCCAGTCTTTAATTAGCTCGTTGGCCACATGTGACGCTCTGCAGCAGCGGCACCCTTTTCGCAGCGATCGTTCGAGATTTGTCATCGCGGGCCCGACATAATTACGGCCTGTTAGGAAATTAAATATGTCATTAAATACGTTTTTATAATATTTGCCTTTGCTGTTGGCAGAATGATAAATGACCAGTGGCAAAAGGGCATCTATCAGGGCAAGATATTGGTAATTTGAAACCTTAGTAAAATTTCGTTCATAATAAAATATGGAAATTTTAACTTGCGGAAAAGTTTGTCAAGCCCTAAACAGAGTACAATATTCTCGTATATATTATAAAATTATTATTTCTCATTCAAATCCTAAGCTTTGTGGTCTAGACCGATGACACATCAATTTAAACATTTTTAAAGCAATTACTTTAATCGGATTACGTTAATTCGCTGTCATAACAATTCCTCAAACTTCAGTCGCTTCTACTTGAGACATATTCTATTAACAAATGTGACACATTAAAGTGTTCTTATAATTAAAACTGTATAATTATTACTGAATAGCTGGTGTTATTGGTATTTAGTAAGGCTTGCTAAAATGGATAAACAAACCTGTAAGCATGTGTTGAAAATCTTTTATTGTGTGGTGATTTAATTACACTTACACTTTCGAATAACTTAACTTTAGGTGTACTAAACATATTTAAGCACCATAAAATGGTCATTATTATCATATTTTATTCATGGCATTTAAATTTGATGGCTTCCTCATCCTGGTCGTGCGAATTTCTCTTTTTTGCGTCTCAGGTTGTGCGCAGAGTTTTTCGCGCAGCATGGGATGGGATGATGACCTGACCCTTAGCCGGGAGCAAAGTGCAGCTCCTTCTTGGGGGGGAGCGTCATAGTCATTGCATCTCATCCAGTTTCAGTTCCAGTCGCCGAGGTGATGGACCCACCGCCATGAAAGCGGAGCTGCACTTTTGTTTACTTTGGCAACTTATTTTTGTGCAAGACCATTAAAACACGCTCATGCGGGAGGTCAAGCAGTGCACAAAAGATATATATATCTAGTATACCAAGTATATATCCGAGGGTGGATTATTTCATGCTAATTTGGCGAGGGCCACAATTGGATCAGCAGTTGGGGGCAAATGGATTTGTCATACTTGACTTTGGAAATCAGCGGATGAGTCAGCAGCGGCTGCAATTGTGGAGAAAACAACTAAATTTAATTAGAACTAAAACAGAGCTCGTCGAAGAGGAAGGGAAATTCTGGAAAATAGAGCACATCGATGAGGAAGAAAAATATTCTGGAATCCACCTAAAAGTATACCATGGAATGTGAATTTTCTGTTTCATCCGACAGATGAATTTCAATTATAATTCTCTCTCGTTGCGATCGCTGGGATGCTGTGTCTGGTGTTTTAATTTATGGATTATGAGCACGGCCTCTCCATTTCCATTTCCCCTCCCCTTAAAACACCCACGACATTGGCATCCGCTGGGCTTTTGAAGCCGACAATAATTAATTGACAAATAAAAGTAGCAGAAAATACAAAGCGGCAAGTTTTGCCTTTGTTTTATATATACACTTTTTGTATCTACATGTAAACAAGCCAATTGTTGTTCATTGAAAGCGATATTTGTGTACATCTTTTTTAGCATTCCCCGCCTGTTTGAGGTTGATTTAATCAGCGCACACTAATACCCATTTGGATTGGCTTTCCGAAAACAGCTGATAATAGATAGGGGGCAATAGATATAGGGTGCCTGCGTTGGGAATGCCGATGATTACTTAATGTATTCAACCCATTCATGCCTTGCTTTTGTCTCCCATTCGAATTTCATGGGGGAAATTTATGCGCATTTATAATAGTTTTATTGGAAAATGTAGTACGCTCGACTGACTGATCGTCTGTTTGTAATTGTTAATGAGCACTTGTGCTCGCCCCCGTCCCTTAACCCCCCTGGAACTCCGATTCTGTGATATAATTTTATGTTCGGTGTTGAGTTTCAAGAGGGGGCATATGTTTGCTTTGGTTGCAGCACGTGCACATGCCTTCTATCGGGGAACTCGATCTTCATCCTGCCGGAAGCCTCGTCTTCAGGCCCTTCTTCTGGGTCTATTTACCACCCTCGTAGCGAAAGAGGGATGTTTATTTGACCGGACAAAGTAGGCACTTGGTTTGCCACTTGAACGAACAGCTTCATTAGTCGCAGAGATAAATCAAAATCTGCAGTTGATTTACTTCCCAGATGGTCGGTGCTTATATCTATGATTTATTCGGGTGAAAATACAAATATTACAAATAGTTTTGAAGCATTTTCAAATTGTTATATATCAAGGGGATCTTATCTATGACAAGGGAAAGTGATAGATGGGTTTCCAAAAATATCGATTGAAAGTAATTCAAAATTAAAAACAGGAATACCTTTATTATTTACTTAAATATATTATCTACACTAAAATACACCAATCGCATTCATCAATCAATTACGATGACTTGTTACTAATACTGTTAGATTATTTATAAAATGGAATTTTAGATTGGGGGAAAATTGCTTGATAGCAGCAGGTATTGTATTCAGTATTCGAAGGAGAAACAGCAATCAGCCCTTTCACAACGTTTTTTTAAATGTGACTTTTTAATCTGATCTACTCACATAAATGTAAGTTTCTTAAACAATAAATTTTAAGTTCTTATTGAAATCTTTAAATTATTCTGGTAATGTTTTTGTTTTTTTGCTTTTAAAGGGTTGAGTAAAATATATTTTTGTAAATTATTTTTATTTAAAGAAAATTATTTTCAAACTTTCCATTTTCTGTTCCAGGAACATTACTACTACACATTATTTTACACATTTATTTATAAAGTTTTGAGAACAGAATAAATTCAATATCGACTTGAATCTTATAGTATCCAAGGGGTTGCACTTGCTGCGCCGCAGATGGTGCTATTACCCGTATCCATGGAGTTTGTCGCTCTCGATTTCACTTTTCGCTCGAGCCCCTTCTTTCCTCATTTTGGGGTTAACCCTGCGATGCACATTGTATAATGTTCCGTTGTGGCGACTCTTCGTGCGTTTTCGGGCGCTTTTCATTCTTTTCACTCGGATACACCCCGAAGATACACTGGGAGGTGCCCTCTCACAGATACTCTCGCACACCGAGGCCTCGTCGCTTTGTAGCCGTCGCTTCGCCTCTTTTTTTTCGGATTGTCGTGGTCCGCTCGCGTATTTTCATTTTCAGTCAGTCTCCTTGGGCTGGTGCAACTGTGAAAATGTGCGGAGCGTGTCGGTTGTGAAAGCCTTGATTATTTCCATATATATTTTATTTTTCGTTTCACATTTCGCTTAATTTGTTTACGCGTTCGTCTGGTGTGAATAATAAACTCGTAGATACTTTGTGTGTGACGCAGCAGCCCTAATAAAAGTGGAATCTTACTTAAAGGGCTTTAATTGTGCGTGGGCCAAGCCCCACTGAATTATCTCAAAGATACTCGTTAGATTGGCCATCTTAAGTGCATCAGTAGCCGAAAGTTTGTGTGTGTGGCGTGTTTTTTAAATGTCTGATACGAACAAAGAAACAAAAGTTCTCTTTGACAACGAACACTTTGGGATTATCTAATACGCAATCTGTTTTGGGTAAAGTAGCGCCAGCATTTAACGATTATTTACGAGTTTTCTGCAGTAGGAAATGAGATCATCGAACACCTAATCGGTTTCGGGTTGTCAGTTGCATTTCTACCAGCTTTCGAGCTTATCTTATCAACTGAAAATAGTCAGGCATGCCAAAAGTGTTTATTTACGCCAAATCAAAGCCATTTCGACTGTTTGCTGCTGATAAGCTGCTGTCGCCTGTCAGTAGCAACTGTATCTTTGCATTCGCATCTGCTTCTGTATCTGTTTTTAGCCAGCTTTGCAAATAGATTTGACCTTTTCGCCAAACCAAAAGACTTCCGCGTCGATATGCACACATGCGTTTGATGATTTCGTAATTACAATTGCTACAAAATAGAAACAACATCGACAATGTGGCTGTATCTTTGTATATCTATCTGCAACTGCAACTGCAGATGCATTTTCTTTGGCTGCCTCATTTAATTGGCAGGCCCAACGCACTCCACAAAAAGAGTTTCTATGCTGGCATTTTCTGGGCGCAATGTAGGCCAACAAGTACGTTGAACTAAACTAAAATGTTTTCATTCTCTAGAACAATGTGGAAGATATATATATTATATATACGTTGGCGAAGAAGGCTTGCTTTTGCGACAGTTTTAAGGGTGTGACACTAGGCAATCTTTAGTAAACAAATCTTTATAAAACTCCAACTTTATATTAGAAAAAGTTTTGGACATTAAATTGTTAAAATAAAATATAATTTTTTCTAAAGAGCGGAAAGTAGAGTGTAAATTTCTGAAGGATTCCCCTTTCTGCGCAGCAAACACCTAAATAAACATTTCGGAAAAGTTCCAAATGTGATTGAACCTGCCCAGGTACAACTTGCTCCAAAATCTTAGGGAAAAACTGTACTTTCGCATCGCGATACATGCGCTGTTTATTTTTGCCCCGGCTATAATTGCAAGGTGCAAAGAGAAATCCAAATGAGTTGCGTGCGAAATCGAAACGCATCTGCAATTTTCACAATATCTTCGCAGTGCGTCGGCTTCTTTGCGCCTGATGTTTATGATTTCCAGAACTTCATGGCTGATGGCAAATACAAGGCAGCTGGAGCGTGGCCATGGACAAGTTGCCGCCGTGTTTATCGGAGCTGCTTAAATGCCGCTTCGATGCGAGAGCACTTTTCCTTTGGCAGAGTGTTGGTTTCCATATATTTTGGCCCCTTGCCAGATGTGGGAAGCCGTTTGGCATTTTCCGAGCCAGGTCCTTGGTGCGCCTGAGCACTCCTCGGTGGCATTTGGCTCCCATTCCTCCGACTTTCCCTTTCTCGATATTAGCCCACTGCTCCTGAGGGTTTGCGTTTTTTTCAGGCCCTTTCCCCAGTGGGTGGTTGCCATTTTGCGATTCTTTGTCTGCAACTTTACACTTGAAAAAGAAAGAGGGTTTTTAAAAATGCATTTACTTGGTATTTTTCCATATTTTATATTAGAACTTGATTCTTGAGCAATGCAATTGCTTTTATAGTTCATAGCTTATCTCTTTTGCTGATGTCAGGCATCAAATATGCCAGATATACCATATAATCTCATTATGCCAAGCACCTGGTGGCTCTTTATACTTTTTGGCAAGCTCATGTGCGCTCCAAATAGATTTCAATAGCAAACATTATGACACATGCCCGCTAAAAGTCGTACGACAAGTTAATAATAATGAACTTGGCTATGCTTCGTTTTTCGGCCAGCGATTTAAATTTAGACACCTGCGAACCTGGCCAAAGCTTCAAGGCAAAAGCCCTGTTCAGCAAGGAAAGCCATTTCCGTTTTTTCATTTCTTGGGTTTTTCTTTTGTCGGAAATGTGTAACCATAAATTAGGCGCCTTGAGGGTTCGCTCCTAACGCTTTTGCTAACGAGCCCCGACTGCAGTTAATTTGCGCGCTAACAAGGCAAAAAGGAATTGCATTTTTCGAGGTTGGCCCAAAACCGCAGGGGCATAAATCGCCGATGGTAACAGCACACAACTGCTGCAGCTTTTGTTTATGCCATATTGTTATTGTAGTGGGATAATTTTAGGCGTTTTTCGTCGAAAACTCCGCATTAAAGTTTTTGGGAAAACATAAAAGTCCCTAGCCGACTGCAGAAAACTCGTAAATTATTTTTATATGCTTCTCACACACCGAAATTATATCAACAGACTCGAAAACTTTTTGTGCGCTGAACAGTGTAGCACACAGGCACACACTCGGGTTATTTTTATATATATATCAAACTTGGTCCATGTGTCGTATAGAGAGAAAACTTACGCATCAAGCAAAACAATATTTATAAATAGAGCACAAAACTAAAACTACGAAGAAATCAAAATGAAAAGTGCAGCATAGAAAACAAAACCAAAAGCCAAAGAAAATCCAAACAAAATGTGCAACCAATCAATGGAGTTGAACCGCTTAAAAAAAAGAGCCAATAACTAAAAATAAAAAAGTAGGAGAAAACGAAGAGACTCTGCCAAGAACTTGGCAACATCCAACGCAGCGTTGGTCCGCAGCGGACTGGCCAAAAATAAACCGGCAGCAACATTCGCTTGCAACTAGATGTTGTTGCTGCTGCTCGCCTTCATCATGCGATTCGTAGACATTTCCAAACGCTGTGCCGCCTGCTCCAGGGCCGGAATCGATTGCCCGCACAGCGGCAACACCAACAGCAAGAGCAACCACGATGCCAACGGCAATTCGGCCTGCTGGCAACATGTTGCCGGTGCCACCAGCAACAGCAGCAGCACCAGCAGCGGCTGCGACAGCAACAGCTCCTCCAAGGAGAACTACTATGTGCCACAGCAACACCGTCAGAGGGAAAGGGCCAAGCCCAACAGCAACATTGGCGTTACCCCCCAGCAACTGGAGCAGATTCGCTTCTACCAGCGCATGCAGCAGCAGCAGTTGCAACTATTGCAGCAGCAATTGCTGCAGCGGCGACGCCTGCAACAACAATTGCTCGAACAGGGCGTGCCATCGCCACCGGCGACAACGACAACATCAGCGGGTCTCACCTGCAATCAACAGTATTTGCGACAGCAGCGACTGCAGCAGCAGCGATATGTGGACCACAATAGCAACAGCAACAATGACAATGACTATCTGAACAACTATCTGAACAACAACATTAACCATCAAAACAATGGCAAAGTTGTGGGCCAAGGTGCGCAGTTGTTAAGTCTTAGCTTTTAATTAAACTAAACTTTTACTAAACAAAGATTTAATATGATTTGATAGATGTTCTTCAAACTTGTCTAAATATTCCTTTTTTTATTATTATTAATACATTGAAATTCTTGAGTATTTATGTTTTAATAAAGGTATTAATAATATTTAAATTTATTAATATCAAATAATAGAGAATTTCACAGATTAAAGTTAAATTCAATTGGGGTATACAAAAAATGGAAATTTAATATCAATGAGTAAAATTGATTGAACAAATCATCATAACAACTTTATAAAGAAAGCTTCTAATTTCGATGGAAAATGTATTATTAAAATCTTAAAAAAATCATATCATTATTTTGAACAATTTATCATATCTTAAGCATTAAGAATTACTTAGTTATCTTTTATTTTTCATGGTGATTTAAAATGTTTCTCCTCGTAAAAAGCATCGTCAACATTGTATCTTTCTTGGCTCCGCCCTGACGCAACCTCTTGAGCATCTCGAGACGGGCTTTTGTAATTTCAATTAACTTTAATTGAGCTCCGAGAGGCCGGCAGTTGACACTGGGCCTGGCCATTGCTCCTCTGCTGGATGGGACCACCCTCCCAGCATGACGGCTACATATATGCATCCCATATCTACACACAAAATGCATTAAAAAAATATTTTTATTTGTCCGTAATCTTGCGCTGGCCCAAATATGAAATGACTTTCCATTTCATATTTTTCTGCTTTGGAGGGTGGGAGAGGATGAAAGATAGCCGGGCGGGAAAAACATGTGCTTTGCCACTTGTCGACTGCACCGAAAAGTTCCCTCAGACGGAGGGAAATCTTTTAGAAAATATAATCTCTTGTGTCTGCACTTTCTGGGAGGTTCCCCAGTCTCCCGCTTTTCCCCCTTTATTCTTGCATTTGATTTGTTTATGCCCGGAGTTAATTTTAAATTTAAATTTTGTTCCCGATACCAAAATGAATTGCATAAGAAAGTCGGCTGGCAACTGCAATCGATAGCAATGCGGCAAACGAGGAGGTTTTCCTAAGCACTGAATTACCGCCCTGAGACATGCAATACCATCAAGTTTAACCTTTAATTGCCGCCGGCTGACGGGCATTGCATGTTGCATGAGCCGCTTGGTAGGGAAGATGGGAAAATGTCACATTTTCCAATTGAACTTTTTAGTGGCGATGGCACAGAGCGATCCGATTTGATGCGATCCCATCCGAACCATGGGTGTTGACTCGTAAAAATCTCTCAGACGTATAAAAATAATTTTTACAACCTTACGTTTTCACGTGTAGACGTAGAAGAGAGGGAGTCTGTCACCCAGATAGTGTCATCCTTATTTGCTAGACCGGGGCTGGGATCGTAAAAATTAATTGAAACATGCCAACAATAGATGGGCGCCTCCGTCAGGTTTTTACTGCTCCGAAATGTGTGGCACGCTAATGTCCATTAGGGGAGGGAAAGTGCAAATGAGAATGGGGATAGATCATTAGCCGGAGTTGCTTTGGTGGCATCTTAATTGAGCCAAGTTCAGTGTCAATGCTGATTGGACAATTAACATTGAGGGGGGACTATCGATAAGGTATTTTAATCAGCTAACCTAAACTTTAAGATCTTTGCTTTACAAATATATACAAAACTTCTTCTTAAACCAGATTTTAATGTTTACTATCCCCTCTTCTCCTTGCAGGAACCAAACTTCGACGTGGCATGACAGAATTCTCAACAAACAACGATCACAGCAAGCCGCATTTCACCGCATCATCTCAGCAGAAACCCCTCCAGAACTCACCCATCCACCAGCAGGCATTCACTCCATCCAATCCCAACTCTCATCCACATTTGCTTCAACGCTTGGCCCAACAGTATAATAAGTTTCAGCAGACCCTGCCCTTTAGCCAGCTGAACAACGGCAACAACACGGCTGCCCCATCGCCACATTCCCCGCTCAGCTACCGGAATCCGCTGAACAGTCCCAGCAACTCGCCGTTCAGCAACACGGCGCACACGACGACGATTGGCAAGCGGTACCAGCAGCAGCAGCTGACCGATCGCCTGTTGCAGCAGCAACATCTGCAGCAGTGCCAGCAGCAGCAACTGCAATCGGTGGGCAGCAGCGATGTGGAGGAGGATGCCGCCGGCGAGGAACTGAGCGAGGAGAGTCTCAAGCAGAATGTGGCCATTGTGCTGAGCAACTTGGATCGCTATAACAACGCGTTGCGCAGCATAATCCTGAATGAGCAGGTGAGCAGCAGCAGCCTCATCACTCCGAGCGACAGTCAACTGTTTGGCGAGGACTCGAGCGGTCTGCTCTACTGCGACAACGACAACAGCTCCAGGAAGCTCCAGGGCAACAATAACTTTGTCCTGGGCAAGATGGCGGCCACGCCGGAGTCGGATTACAACAGCAATGCCACGACGCCAGGAGGTCGCAGCAACGAGCAGCAGTTGCAGCAGCAGCAGCAGCAACAACTTGGGGTAGGTGGGATGCTTTGTGGTGGTGGCGGGATGCGGGAAACTACTAATGGTGGCAGCAACGGTGGCAACAATCTCATCTGCTCGTTGGCCTCGTCGCACGACTTTACTCACGACAATTCCGATTACCAGTGGTTCCTGGACTACGGCTATCGAGATGGCTGCGGCGGAATGCAGCGAAGTGTTCTAAGTTCCCTTTCGGCCTCTTACAATGCGATGGGGGATTTGATCTACTATGAGGATCTGGCCAAGAACCTGGACGCCAATCTGGCCGAGGTGGACATGGAGAGCTTTCGGGCGGAGGATATACATTCCCTGCTCTCGCAGCTCCCCGCCTATTGCAAGAGTTTGGGCGGGGCCAATAGTCGGCTGCAGCAATCGCTGCTCCTTCAGCAGCAGCAGCAGCAACAACAGCAGCAGCAGCAGCTGCAACAGCAACAGTTGCTGCACCACAGCAACATGTTGCCGCACAACATGTCCCAGACGTCGACCACCTCCACCAACGAACTGATCGACAACTCCTTCTGCAAGTCGGAGCTGCTCTTTTCGCCGGTGAGGGAGTCGCACATCTCGGTGGATTCGCTGGACATGGACGCCTATCCGGATGACGGGGAGATCATACTCACTTGCAACAAGGACAACTATACGATCGCCTTCGAGGGCAGTGTTTTATATTCGGATGATAGTTTCTATGGTGAGTAATTGGTGCATATACTTAAAGATTTAAACTTACAATTGTTATCTTTTTATAGCGGAACCTAGTGACATTGCCGCCAGAAACAAACAGAACTGCATCAACTTGCACAGCAATCTGGAGGACATTGTGAAGCGCAACAAGGCCCTGGAGGTATCCATGTCGCGTTCGGCCCAGGCCTTCCAGCCCCTCTGTCCCATGTCGCCCAAGGGACAGGCGGCCACAGGAGCGGCGGCCAAGCTACAGCGGTAGGTCCACAAAACAGAACACACGCCGCATTAGATTCCCTCTAACATTAACCCAAGGATTGGTTGTTGCCTGATAGCACTAGTTTACAAAAGACTATTCTTGGTGTGCGTCCCAGAAAATAATGGCAAATTCTGTTAGTGCTGGATCTATAGATCACGAAAATACCAGAAATTTGTTTTTTCTATGGCACAGTTTTTTCTTAAAGATATTTATACCCGTTACTCGTAGAGTAAAAGGGTATACTAGATTCGTGCAAAAGTATGTAACAGGCAGAAGGAAGCGTTTCCGACCCTATAAACTATATATATTCTTGATCAGGATCACTAGCCGAGTCGATCTAGCCATGTCCGTCTGTCCGTCTGTCCGTCTGTCTGTCTGTCCGTCTGTCCGTATGAACGCTGAGATCTCGGAAACTATAAAAGCTAGAAGATTGACACTTTGCATGCAGATTCTAGGAGTTCCTACGCAGCGCAAGTTTGTTTCAAAAGAGTGCCACGCCCCCTCTAACGCCCACAATCCCTTATATACGATTTTAAAAATTTCAATATTTCGGAAAAGTAAAAATGCAGTTTTATGGTGTTTATCAATACCTATCGAAATGTAGAAGAAATTTTTCAAATCGGTCCATTCGTTAAAAAGTTATGCGTGATCAACGTTTTCTATCTCTATCTCCATCTCCCTCGCACTCCCTTTACCTGAGTAACGGGTATCTGATAGTCGGGGCACCCGACTATAACGTTCTCTCTTGTTTTAAGTTTGAAATGTTAAATTTCTTCTTATATCCCGGCAGATATCCACCAGTTTTTGTTTTATTTTAATGTCAATAGATCAGAGCTTAACTTTGCCATATGATTGGTAAAGTAATGGCAGCGCAGCAGCTCGACCAAGATGAATAATGTGTTTTTGGTCGACCGTAAGTCGGCTGTATATATCGTAAAAACTCTAAAACTAAAACTTAAAGTTTACATCTTAGTTCGGATTTTTCAACTTTTTCCGGTTGACAGAGTCCAGATTTAAGTTTTATCATAGTCGGTTTAAGATTATGTTACTCCATAGTTTCTCTGATATAACTAATGTTACGTTCTGAATGCCAAGCGTCATCATCGTTTAAGATGGACGGATGTTACACATTTCCCCCTTCCTTGCAGTCCGCTCTCATTGCAATCGTGTGTGGGGTCATTTCAATTGAATTCAATTTAGTTCCATTTGCCTGCCGGCTGAAATATTAACGTATGTCGCATGATCAGGGAGGGGAATTTCGACTGGGAACTGGGTCTTTTTGGCGTACATTCCACGCGGGCATATGCCAACCTTCAAGTTAATCCTCGGCGAAAACCAATTATGGGATTAGCCCGCATAACTCATTCACAAAACGATTAGCCAGGACAACAGAGAAAACCCAAAATATTATGCAAATAAACCCGGTCCAGACGCCGGCAGGTAAAGAAGTCATAAAAACGTAAGGGCAGCAACCAATCCGAAACCGCTTCCTACCTAAAAAAAAAAACCAGAAAAAGAAAACCTTCCGCCGACAAAATTGTAATCCCAAACGCTCGACGTGTCTCTTGTGATAAAGACGCTCGTTACTTCTTGTTTCGCCCGCACGCAGGTATCCCTCGGGTAACAACAACACGGAGACCATCACCATAACCCGGCACCTACCGCAGTGCTCCGTGAGGAAGAGCAGCAGTCTGCCCAATTTGCAGGGCGAGGAACTGATGGCCGGCAGCAGTGGCCACCAGGAGCAGCGACCGGAGGAGCAGGCGGTGCCACTGAATGTCTCTCAGGCGATCAGCACCTCGACCATGGAGTCGTCCAAGTCGAGGAGCCGGAACCTCCTGCCCATGTGCCAGATGCCCATTTCCATCAGTGTCTCGATTTCGGAGCGACTGCAGCAGCAGGCGGCGAATCAGCAGCAACTGCAGCAACAGCAGCTGCAGCAGCACAACCACTCGCACCACCATCGCCACAAGCATCGCTGCAGTTGCTCGCAGGAGAGCCAATCCTCGGGCAACTCCTCCAATCCGCCGGCCTTCAATCTAGTCAAGCTGTTCATCAAGCAGAAGAGCAGCAACAGCAGTGCTGGTGGTCAGGATTTGGATTTGGGTGCCCAGGCGAGTGGGCACACCTGCATGGACGTCTCCTCCGGCTGCTGGCCGTCCAGTGATGCGGCCAGCTCGAGCAGTGGCTCCCTGGAGCAGCGTCTGCGCAAGAAGAGTATGAATGACTCGGGCAAGGGATCGGCTGTGAGTCGTCATGACGAGGAGGAGCAGCACTACCCGCAGGAGCAGGAGACACCCAGGCGGCAGTTGAGAGCCCGATCCGAGGCAGTTTTCTACGATGATGTGGCCACCTCCAGTTCCACGGGCTCGCTGACGGCGACCAATTCGCCAGCACATCGTAGGCGCAGCATGCCGCTAAGGAATCCCCAGCTGTACCAGCTGGCAGCCCAGGTTTCCACCGGCAGTCAGATGTCCTCGGAGGCGAGCTCGGAGCAGCTGACCCAGGTGCCCAGGCGAGCGGAGGAGGCACGACCCCTGTCGTGCGCCTCCAGCTCCGAGATGATCACACGTTCCATGCAGACCTCCTGCGGCTCACTGAGCACCACAAGGAGCAGCCTGAGCGATCGTTACCGCTGTGTGCCGCCCTCGTTCCTCGAGAAACTCAATAATCTGGGAGAGCAGCGCCAGGCGCCCATTTACGTGATCTATCCGAACTACGCCCTGCCCGACTTGGGCTTTGTTAAGACTAATGCCAGCACCGATGTGATCTTCTCGCCCTTCAACTACAAGGAGACGCTGGACGGGGCAGCCGGGAGCAGCAGCAGTAGCTCGGGATCCCTGAGGAAGCAGCGCAGCAGCAGCCAGAGCGTCAGCGAGGAGGAGATCCTCAAGACGCTGGACTACAAGCACATTGCCGACTGGCAGTCGTTGGCCACTTTGCTGCCAACGGAATACCGCCGTCGGTTGCAGCACATTCCCGAGGTGAAGCACCTGGTGCGGCAGCTGGATGCGGAGCTATCGCAGCGTCCGCTGTTCTGCATGTCGCCACCGCTTCGCCGAAATCGTACGCACATCTGTGACTGTGCCAAGTACTTCCAGGGGCAGCAGCAGACTCAGCTGGACGAGGCCTCCAGCTCGGGATCGAGTCAACAGCCCAGCTCCGGCTATCGTGGCTCCTCCACGCTGCTCACCGACTCCGAGTTGGATGTGGATCCGCTGAAGCAGATGTATGTGTACCAGTACCAGGACCAACAGCGCATGGATTCGGGCGTGGAAACCCAAACGCCGCCGCAGCCCATGCCCCGGAGTATTCTGCGCAAGGCCCACTCGGCGCAGGCGCGCTCCAAGCGCAATTCCATGATCGAGGCCCAGCAGACGCAGAAGCTCTCGAAGCTGGAGAAGCGGCGCAGTCTGCAGGAGCCACCGCACAACTATGGACTGGGCTCCACTGACGAGCTGCTGGCGGATGTCTTCGAGGAGGAGGAGCACAGCCAACAGCAGGCGCAGCCGGTGAAGCAGAGGCTTTCGCGCAAGGATCTGGATGCCAGGGCCCGGGCGGAGAACTTCCTGGCCTCGTTGCCGCGCTCCGAGCTCAAGTACTATGCGGAGATTGCGTCCATCTTGGAGTCTTCCGGCGAGCAGGTGACCTACGATGCTGCCGCTTTGAAAAAGGAGGTGAGCCGGGTGCTGAGCCAGCAGAAGAAGGTGTCCTTCAATGACGAGGGCGTGGCGGCCGGACTGCAGCAGCAGCACGCCAAACGCTTTGCCACACCTCCCAATTCCCCCAACATCTCTGTGGCGGCACTGAAACGTGACACTCTGGACGTTCAGGAGCAGCGAAAGATCGAGAGCAATCGCTTCAAGCGCCTGCAAATCCAGTGGGAGCTGATGAGCAAGGACTCGAGTATGCTGAAGGAGCTGGCCAGCGAAGCGGCCACCAAGAGCGGCGGCTCCACGCCCACCTCGGTCAACTCAACGGGCTCTAATTCGGCGCCAAGGTCCAGGATTCCACGACCAGTGAGCTATCCAGCGGGCAGGTCAGTATTTTAAAGCTTTTAAGCAATAAAAAGGCAAACCCGTAACATTTGAAAAGGATTCATACTAGAGCCCTGCGTGAATTTTCGTTTTATCGTAGTATGCCATGAAATTTCTGATTTGATTAATTCAATTCTGTGTGAAATAAAATCCAATTTTTTTTCTAATTCATTTTGAATTGAATAAATGAATAATTTTTATGAATTTTTTAAAGTTGCCAGAATTTTTTGTGCTTTTTTTTGAGAACAAAAAGTGGAACATTTTTAACAAATGAATAAATAATAACAAATCAATAAATAAAATTCATTCGATTTAACTCAAAATTCAAATTCATTTAATTCTATTAAAATCAAAATAATTCGTTGAATCCATTCATGCAGGGCTCTAATTCATATTACCTTTCAAATGCTATAGACTTGCAAATCCTTTAGTGATAAATTCAAAATTATTTGGTTGGTACATGATATGTTTACGAAATTTATTTCTTTTCATTTTTGGTAAACCCACCGAACCCCCCATCCTTGCGTGAAATTATTATTTTGCATGATGTTCTTATTTGTTTGTGGGCCTGCTGCTCAGAAGTTCCACGCCCACTTCGTCACGTACCGCCCCCGTTATGGCCACGCCCTCACCGGCTCGGCCCGCCAATCCTAAGACTGTCACTAAAAGCCACACAAAACCCGGTCTTTTTACCTCCCCCCGCCCAAACAGACTCACCAGCGCCCAAGAAGCAGCCGGCGGATCCAAGGTCAGCACCCGATCGCCCAGCAGGATGGTGCAGCCGAAGCGCTACAGCCTGGTCGGCACAACCACGCCCACATCCGCCGCCCCCACTTCGGTCAGAGCACGTACGCCCACCAACCGAGTGGCGGTTACGGCGCCAAATACGCCCAAGCGCCAGGCGGTGGCCCAGTCGCCCAGGTAAGCGATGATTTCAGGGGTTGCTAGTGACATGACAAGGTTGAATTTTGTAATTTGCATTGATAAACAGAGAAAAAAACGGGAAAATATGAAACTGATATTGTTTCAAATCAATTTTTCCATAACAAAATGGTATGATTTCATATCAATATGGTAAAAAATCATATGTTGGGAAATATCATTTTGATATGAACACAGATGGGACCAAAATTTATATGAAAAAATACCCGATTGATGACTATTTTTGGTCTTTTTTTCTCTGTGTAGGGTATCAACCTTCTTATGTAGTTTCTGCTCAAAATCCTTACCATTTAATATATGATTTATAATAATAATGCCCATCTTATCTTGCAGACCCACATCACGAGTGCGTTGAGCGTCCACACAAGTCCAAGCGTCCAAGTCATCCCAATTAGTCAACGGCAGACAACAGACAGCAAACCCCCAAACACCCCAAGAAAAAAAAAAAGAAAAAAAAAACAAAAAACAAGCAAACAAAACATATTCAACAACAAAACAATGCAACATTGTAAAATTCTAGACTAAGGCTTTGTGTGCGGCTCGATTGCTTAGTTACTGTTGGCCCGGAAAGTGATATTTAGATGGGAGAGCATTGATCAGGGATCACGGAGCGAGAACTGAATGGCGAGATGTGCTGGTATCTTTTGATTGATTTTGTTGCCCTCATTTGCGGTAGAGCAGACATCGGCGAGAAGTAGCTAAATTTTCTTTTTTTACAAAGTATACATAATGAAATCTATACATATGCCAAGTACGCGTAAATTAAACAAATATTTTGATGTATATACACACACATACGATATATATTTAAACGCGTAGACTCGCTTTTCCACTAGCTACTCAAAACAGAAATGACAAGGATAACTTTGCTACCCACAGGAAAATTGATAAAGTGTATAAAATATTTTCTATACCCTATGCAAAAAGGCATATACAGTCAATACTCGAGCAGCAAATATACAAATTACTTGAATCATACCAAGATGGGCAGAAAAATATGATATATTGGGTACCCCATATACAATAAATGAAAAGCTCAAGAGCGGATCCAATCGATATTACGCCCCGGGTGCATTAGATTAAATATATTTTGTTGCTATTTCCATGCTCACGCTGATCCTCTCCCTCAAAGAAAAAAAAAGAATACGGAGAAAATCAAGGAAAGAATTTTCAATATGGCCTTTAATTCATTAGCGATTGGTTATTGAATGCTTCGCAGTTTTTGATTTGGTTTTACTCGCAAGCCCTGTTTTCGTTTGCGTTTTATGCTGAAATTTTCATTTCGTTTATAACGAGCTTATGCTGTTGGGCCCAGGCTCAAAGTGATTTCAAATTGTACGATATATGTTTACAGCTATACCTACTATTAATCTTACTCTTTCATTTGTATCTATTTAAACTCTATCACTCTGTCTATGACATAACTTTAATTGGTTATTTAACTGCTGGAAGACATCGTCTAATTTGTAAGCCTTAAGTCAAACACTTTTCTATCTTTAATTGTATAGCTATTCTAATTGTATTATGTACAAGCGGAAGAAACACATATTATAGATTTGCGGGAGAATTTATCACCAAATGGATATGCGGGAGTATATTATGTATTAAACCGAAAGTAAAAAAATGTATAAAAATACAAAATCAATAAAAATATTAATAAACAAGCAAAAAGTATTACGAAAATAAATTTAAATGTGTTTTTTTGCGAAAGGCGACTAGCAGAGGATCCGAATGGTCCAGAAGAATTAGGTGCAATACTAATAATACATATAGCATATATAAGTTTTATTTAAATATTTTAATTTAAATATTCATTCCATTTTTGAATTAAGGCGCCATACATTTTTCCTTTTCCGGTGATGCCAGACTGTTAAGCAGTATCGAACAGTGCATTTCAAACTGTTTCTCATATTTTTGTCCGAAGCTCCCAAACTGTAAATGCTGTATAACAGTATGCCTTAGCATGCAACAGCTAATGTAAAACTGTGTACTTGTTATACTTTCTGTCTTTTCGAATTGTGGACACTCGAGTAAAAATGAAAGAAAATGTGGTATTCAAAAAGTATGCATCATTAAATTTATTTTGAGCTCCCCGCAACCAAATCCTAAATCCACAGTTTTTACTTTATCTAATGCATTTTTAGCGAAGCCCAAATAAACTTTAAGCATTAGAGTTCTTTTAAAGCGTACAAAACTTATGCTTACAAAATAAAAGAAAGCGGGGTAAATTCCGTGTAGAAATGATACTCAAAAACACGGCAGAAAACTTTGCTTTGTAAATAGGAACTGCTTAAGCCTTGTATAACTTATGATTTCGGTAGTAGTTTGGCAGTAATAATAGATTGCTAAATAGTAAAATTGATCCACAATTATCTAATAATTTCGAAAAAATATTTCCAATATTTGGGCAAATAAGCCAGCCCCCAATTACTGCACCTTATTAATCCAAATAATGACTTTCAGATTTATCCCCGGGCTAAATCCGATTAAATTTCTTCCCAGCGGTAAAGCTAATTTCTGTGCTTAGCTTTTTTGAGAACAGGAGCAAAACCTGAACCCTTTTGGCCCATTTAAAGCAACATTATTAAAAGTAATTGTAATTACCGAGGCACATGTTGCGCTATGCGTGTGTGTGGGTGGCACACATACATATGCATGGGCTGGCTGCTTTTGCATACATTTACCTAATTAAATAAAATAATGAAAACGCAAAAGTTGCAAAAGGCGCGAAAGTATGGCTGGAAAAGTTACATAAGGAAAAGGAGCAGGAACGCCCTTCAAGCCACCGAAAATCCTGCACATACGCAACTGTTCACACATTTGCTTGAAATTGGGAAATAAAATTACGCAGAAATATTTTCAAATATTTATTATGGGGACTGGAACATGTGTGTGCGAGTGTGTTAGCTTGATAATTATCATTAGCCATGTGGCAGTTCTCCACTTCTAAAAACAGAGCCCAGAAAAAATGAAGAAAAATTAAATATATTTTAAAATTTACAGAGTAAATTAAATATAAATTTTTTCAAACATGAAAAAATTAAAAAAAAAAAATTTTTAAATGCTTTATTTGTTTAAGAATCAATACTACAGGATTCTTTGGTTCTAAACTCAAAACCAGCTAAATTAAAAAATTTAAAAATATTTCTTTAAATATCTCAAGTAAAAGAACCCATATTCTCTAAGTGTATCTAAAAATTGTGCTCTTAAATTCAAAAGCAGCGTAAAAACCTTCTTCAAAATTACAAAATTTAGAAAATATTTTTCTAAATTTCTTAAAGTAAGGTAAAGTAAACGCAATTCTCTCAGTGTTTCTAAAAATTGTGCCAAGGCAAAGTAGAACCCTGTTGGGAAAGCAAAGGAGCAAATGTTTTGTTAAGCAAATATTTTCACTTTCCTTTGCGTCTTCGATTGAAATTTGTTGGCCATTAAGTTTGCTCATTTGGGCCGCGAGTGTTGGCAACAAATTTGCATATGAAATTTTATACTTGCTCTCTTTTGTGCGTGGCTTAAAATGTAATTAAAAGTTTTTTGTTTAAACTGCGAAAATATAACTGTAATTCTCAAGAGCAATGTCGCTGTTGTCAACGCTGTTATTGTCGCTGCCCTCGTTGTGTGTGCCACGCCTCCTCCCAAAAAATACAAAAAAAAACTCAAAAAAAAAAGGGAACATGAAAAATAACTCGGTCAAATAAATTTTGCTGTCAAGCGAAAAGCAAAAGTGCATAAAATATGCACATTGCACTGAGAATGAGGCCTACAGTATTTGCATTCACATATTTTTACTAAAATAATTACATGCACATGACCCGCCAGCAACACGAACAACAACAAGTTATGACTAAAGACATGCCTCGACAAAGGACATGAGATAGGCGTAGCATGGGATGTCCTTTTTGAAACAAACCAGTTGAGGGGTAGTGCGATTTTGCCATTAAGTTGAATATAATAATTTGAAAATTATTAGTATTCATTGTTTTTTATAATCTATTTTTTTTAATTTAATGTCGAAATATTTTTTTATATACTTAACATTAGTTTATTTTATTTAAACCTTTTAATAGTTCGAATATAAGAAGTTTCGGGAGCTTTTCTAAATAGAATACATTCCTTGAGTTGATTTTCAAATATTTACTGAAATATTAACAGTAGGTAATAATAACATTGTTATCATAGAATATCATCAAAAATGTTTTTCAGGTTTAGTGAATTAAAAAAATTGTATTCCATGTATATTCTAATATAATAATAATTGGGTATAAAAATCTTGTACTATCATTTTAGGCAATATTTTTAAAACTCAGTGGGAAATAAATTCTTTAAATAATAATTAAAATTACAGTTCATTAAAAATATATTTAAGATAAGGTAAGGACATTCAAAGAGTCGACACATAAATGGGCCTTTATTTCGCTGTCCTTTCTTTGTGGTTTTTGGCAGTGCCAGGACACGCCATGTCGAATGCCAGGAGCGGGAAGCCAAACTTTTCCAGCGCCTTTGTTGCCGCCGTTTTGTTTGTCGCTTCTGCTGCCGGCAAGTGGCATCATTAGCCCGTAGTCCATACTCCCGTAGCCTCCGTAGCCTCCACAGCTCTAGTAGCCTCCGTAACCCCGAATCGCCGTATCCAGTGCCCCGTGGGTCGTGGACACGCGATGCACAGGGCGCCGCTTGGTAAACACACCAAATTCCGAAATGAAGCAATAAAAGGCCATAAAACGAAATGCAATTGATATACAAAAGGGAAATTGTAGACAACACACGGCACATTGTGTTGTGTGTTGTTTTGTGTCAGAGTGCCAAAGTGAAATGCTTTTTGGCGAATTCGCCGCAGGGGAATCCCCCGGAAAACGGCGCATGCTCGACAGTTGGCACCACTTCGGTGGGTTTTGGGACAGTGAGTGAGTGGGTGGGTGGGTGGTTGGGCGGTGGTGTTGCAACCGCAGCGAAATCGTCGACCGCGATTTGGCCGGTGGGTTTGTGACCCAGTTTATATTTGCTGGCACTGGCACTGGGACTACTGGACATCAGCCTGTCCACCGCCCACTGCATTGTTGATGCACCCCAAACCCCCCTCCGCAGACACTTGCGTTTTGTTTTGCTTGCTCTGCGGATGTTTGATTTAAAATTTTAATAAACTCAAAATCATCAGGAACGGTTGGGGGAATTCAATTTCCTGCCGTCTGGCAGATCGAAAGTAGCACGATCGACAGCAGGAGGTGCTTTGTAAGTAGCTCATATACACACAAAAAAATGTGCTTGGTAAAATTGACCAACAAAGATAGTTACGTAACTATTAAAATAGTTACGTGTATTTTGTTTTTGCTTTGGGTTTGTGTCCTTGCTTATTGTGTGTATTAGTTGTTGTGAAAGTGACTATTTACTTAGTAGAATTGACAATTTTGCTGGTTGGGGCCTGTTTGACAATTATTACAGTTGATTTTACCA